TCGCCCCATTTATGACCTCACCCGTGGCGAGCGACATGCTCGGTAATTGAGGCCGTTTTATATAAGGACAGTCGTCGGGCTTTCCTGGCCTCTTGGAATTCCCTCCCTCTTCTGGAATGCGCAGGAATTTATGCAATTTTTGGACTCGATGCAGCTCTGCGGGGGGCACTTTTTCCTTTACCGCGGTCTCTTCCCACAAATGTGGAAAAGGGAAATTAACTGCATACTCGGGGCTGTATAATCGGGTAAATTAATTCATTCGGGATGGACCAGGTGCGAGGTACCAGCTTCTTCGTATTAATTACGGAACGCAGGATACCGTACACGGGTGATATAGTACTCGTGAAATGCACACAGAGACTGCACGACACGCGTGCTGCACTTTGCACTCCACAGGTTGCACCTCCTAGTCCGGACGAGCCATTGCACCGATGAGCTCCCCTTGCAATTGCGACAATTTTGGTCATTTTCAACATTTATCCCAATTTTGGCACATTTTCAGATCGTTTCTATTTTGCAGTGTCATACGAAATATGTACAAAGGTAGATTTTTACATTGATTGCATCTCCTAAGTTGGGCGAATAGATGCATTGTTGATTTTGATAATTTTGCAATTTTTTAAAAATTGTTGAGACTATGGCTATTACGCAATATCGCACGAAATATGTATAAAAATAGATTTTTCACGGGTCACATCTCTCAGGTTGAACAAGCTAATGCGTCGTCGAGTTTTCCTCGCAATTTTGGTAATTTTAGTAGTTTTGCGAATTTTGTAAAAATGTTTATGTATAACCATTTTGCAGTGTCCCTCAAAGTATGTATAAAAATGGAGTTTAGGGCGAGAAATCTTCCTCTCGAACTGCAATCGACGAATACTTGAATGACCTCGCGATAGCTGAACTTCCTCGAGTTTCCGCGAGGGCAGAGAACCGGGACGTCGAAGTGTAGAATGAAGTTGGCAACTTTTATTTTGCCGGATTTTCTCGAAGCCGCTCTTGGAAGTTCAGCGGTTCATAACGAACAATGGTCTCGCGTTCTTACCCTTCGCCGACAGGAAGGGGGTAATATTTTTCAGGGTGTACGCATCCGGCCCGAGAAGCGGAGGCGGATGAAAAAAGGCGAAGAAAGTGGAAAGGAAAAGCAAGCCCCGGATACCGGGATTTACGAAACGGGTGACTGGCCAGTGAAAATATTTTTCATTTAGAGGAAAACAGGGGAAAATACATTGGGGATGAAAGCCCAAGTCAAGGACCAAACATATCGGCCGAACAATAGTTGGCCAGTATTGGATTCCAATAGGCTGGGAATTAATTTATCGCCCCATTTTCCCTGGATTTTCCAGCCTCCTCTTTATACACATCTTCTACTCCTCTTCTTAGTAATCCAATTCCTCTCCTTCGCCCTCTTTCTTTTTTATTATTTTCCGCCCGACACGCTTCTCCGAGAAAAGTGCACAATTAATGCGCCAGGGAGTTGCATCTACGACTCGAGATGCAGGTTCTAGAGAGTAATCCGAAGTGCAAGACAGGTGGCTTAAAAAATTTCCATTTAAGCCGGAAATCCGCTAAAAAGGCCGAACAAAAGACGGAGCGAAAATGCCGGATTTTCGGGCGATTAAGAAGTCTCTCCCTCCCCCTTTTTTAATTCACTCCGCGTTTTAACTTCATGATCTTCACCTCGGAAATGTATTTTTACCCGGGACCCCGAAAAATCTGCGTCCCCCAATAAAAACTGAAATAATTTTAACGACCTCTCCGTGCAGCGGATTACAAAACAATGGCGGCACCATACGCAGGGTATTAACATTTGCAGAGGCGATTAAATGTGTATCCTGGAAATTGGATCCAGTACCTCTTGCATTTTCGCAGGATAACGAGAGACCGGACTCGCGGCCATTTCCGTGGGCTTTCATTCCGGTCCGGAAAAGCAATGGGGAATTTTTCCGCAAAAGGGAGAAGAATCCCCCTCCGAAGTCCTTTGCATAATACGAAGAGGTGGTTCAAAGAAAGACGTACATTCGATGCGTTTTCGACGAAATTGCTACCCCCCTTCCAGCCTCTAATTAATATTATACTAAGTCCCTCTCCTTTTTCTTATTATTCCACCCTTTTAATATTACCATCTATACTCACCCTTAAAAATTCTGCATTAATTCCCCATTTTATTCCAACTTTTTACTTCCTTTCCTAGTGATTTTTGCTTTACCGATCTTCACTTGCAATTAAACATTACTGTGGGAATTTATTCACTGCTCGAGTGAATGCATTTCGATGCATACTGGCGAAGGGGTTAATTTTCACTCGGCCAAAAAATCATACTCATCGGATATCTTTGAAAACGATAATTACCTGTGGGAGAGATTTGTTAAGTTTTTTTTTTTCTCTTGGAAAGAGACGAGAGGGTGTCATGGCCGCCCCTCGACCTCTGTTCATGGAGACCACCTTGCCGAAACCTCAACAAAGCGGCTTTGGGTTTCATCCTGAAAGTGGCCACGCATCGTGTTCAGCTTTCGTGTCAACTGACACCGATCTCGACATCGAAGTCAATGCCGGCGTTAATTATCATGACACTTTAAACAGTAACATCGCGACGCCCCGTTAAGCCCTTCGAGGACATCCGCAATGTTCGACCACGAGATAATTATATTTCGCAATAAATTGCCCGTAATTAAAATTACCAGTGCCACGTTTCGGTTTTCGCTTGAAAGGGAAAGCCGCAAAAAGCCGAAGGCGTAAAAATCGATGGTGGATATATATTAAAAAAAATGAAGAAATAAGAGTCTCCGATAAGTTCCCATGAGCGGAAATCTCGTGATTCGAGCTGTCGATAACGAAGCCGAGTAAAATTTTCCCCGATTCGGAAAATCCCGAGACTGACGAGGGAATATTTCACCGAAATCTCGAGTGCACTTTTATCGGCATCGAGTCATTTTTCACCGTGCTCCGAAAGACCGGTCGATTTTAAAGGGAAAAAAAAATCCGGGAATTTGGGGGAAAAAAAAACAAAACTCGCGAGAATTTGCGGCGAATTTCTGAAGGATCTCGATGTTTCAATATTCCCAGAAAGTAATTCCTGGACTACTTCGGTTTTCCTGAGTGCAAACACGAGGAGAGTTTCATTAAAAATGATGAACGGCTAGCAAGACACTCTGATCCCCCCCTTAATGAAGATAGTAAATCAATTAGCCCTTAAAAGACGAAAATTCGATTTGAGAGGTCCTCTTGATCGAGAGGCCACTTTCCAAACTTGATTTAAGAGCTGCCCTCCACCCCAAACTTCTTTCTCAGATTGACAACCTCCCCTGACAAATTAACAAGCTTTTGCACTCGCAGGTAAAATTTGAAGAATGCCAAGCTGGGATTTCATAAGGTACGATAAAAGTGGCAGTGGGGAATATTCTGAAATGTTATGAACTCGATAAAATGTTAATACCTGATGAAAATTAATATTGAATCCATTTTAGAGGAGAGGGTTAATGAAATCGGGCGACAGGATTGGGTACACTGTGCTTCTTAAATTTATTAACACGAAAATTGGAGCAACCATCGATAATCGGTGAAAGTAAGGTGGTGTACATAAGGGAGAAGTCATTTAATCCGTGAAAATTCGAGGCATGAGCGAAAGTCATTACACTACAGCTTAGGAACTGTTGGATCTTAGGAACCTGCCGAACTCTTTTCCACTTACAGGATGTATCCCTAAAAGTTAGGAAATTAAATCACCATTAATATCCGCGGAAATGATATTACGCCGCAATTTAAATCCCCGAACGCAAATAGTTCCATCCATGTGACACCTCCTACCGATACATAGTGCATCTCTAAGTAGGCACTTTATAAATATTATTAATGCATTGTTTACGTGTCAATCAACAGGCGGTGAACCTAGTTATAACATTAGAACACGAGTGTTTGAATTTACCAGGTGCAGTCTGCCCTACAGGATCGAATAACTCGAAATAAATAACTAAATCGACTTATGCAACTAAATTGAACCTCTCTTACCTACCCTATCGTTATTCAAAATAATTAACATCGTTTAATCACCTTCCCGGAATTAAGTTGAGCATCCAACGAGTCAACAACGATAATAAATCCACGAATTTCCATATCGAGTACCACATCGTTTAAAATCTGAGCATTACCTTGCGACAATCATTTACATGATCACTCGTACAAGTTGGTACCATCAATATTAATAACAACAGCACCTAGCATTTCGACGTAGAGCCCGTTTGGGAAATAATCCTAATTCCTCGAAATTCAAATGAACAATAATATCGCAAAATATGAATTCTTTTCACATTAGGCGCAACGGATGAGCCACTTCCAGCAAGAAAATCTGGCATCAGTCGTTAAGTACAAACATATACCGACAAACAGTAGGTGAGCATGTACCGGGAGTACCTACCCTCATTACCGACGCCGTAAATTCAATAACTAAAATTAATAACACTCTTTTACGGATTAAAGTAAATCCAAAATACGGCAATAAATGTTACTCTCGTACCGCACAAGTATATATAGTACTCTCTCGTTATTTCTTATTCTTTTAAATTTAAGTTACGATTCTTCCGTTGCTCCGTCAATAGACGAGCGTAATAATACTGACGCAACCGTAACAATGATTCGCATTACAGGAATCATCCGATCGTTTCGGCCTCTACTTTAGACCTGATACAGATGCGCGTCGAGATTTACAATAAAAACAATACCGTTACAAGTATTCGTCCACTTGACCGTAAAAATCGTGTAAAATTGGGAATCCTCGAGAAGTATCAAAATCATTTGGACGTGACAATGTCGAATTTCGGGGGAAATAATGGAGCACGCATCGAAGCTCCGCCAGGCCGATGGAAATCCTCGATTCTTCGTGGGAAAGGATCAATCATTGGACGAACGATCGATCGATCGACGCTATGATGAAATTATCCTTAACCACGCAAACGCTATCCGTTTGGATCTAAAATGACTTCGGAAGTAGAGGCATGAGCCGATCGCTACTGATTTAGGAAACTATTATTTTTGGAAATCAGGCCAGCACTGCTTTCCGACATCGGTATCACCGCCGATTTCTCACCCTTCGGCAGCTTCGCCCTGGATTTTATATTCGGCTGCAGACCCTTCAGGATGTTCTGAAAATACGAGTTAAGCATTCGATTATAAATAAAAGGAAACAAATCGCGAGAAATTAATTGATCAAAAACATACGGTAAATTTTAAGGGTAGATATAAAAGGGTACCTTAGTGAGTTAGAAAAATCGCAAGAAATTAATTTGTTACAAATGGGGTGATTTTTAAAGAGTACCTCATCAAGCGTTCGATTATAAATGGAAAAAAAAACCGCGGGAAATGAATTGATTAAAAACATATGGTAACTTTTAATGGTATATATAAAAGGGTATCTTTGATTATGAGTTGGAAAAATCGCAAGAAATTAATTCATTGCAAATGTGGTGATTTTTAAAGAGTATCTCATCAAGCGCTCGATTATAAATGAAAAAAAAAATCGCAAAAAATGAATTAATCAAAAACATACGGTAAATTTTAAGGGTACATATAAATGGGTACCTTTGATTGTGAAGTAGATAAATCGCAAGAAATTAATTCATTACAAATGTGGTGATTTTTAGAAAGTACCTCCTTGATAGAGCCCGGCATAACGATCACGTAATAAATCGCGTAGGCCGGTATCCAGATCATGGACGAAAAGCTGAGGCCGAATCCAAGCACCTCTGCCCATGTTGGGTATTCGTAACTGTTGCCATACTTCAATGGTTTATACTGAACGCATTGAAAGACGAAGATGAACTAAAAAGACAATTTTAGAAGATTTAGCGAGGCTGAGCATTCATTCCCTCCTAGTAGATGAAGAATGGAGTACATACTGCCATGATAACAGGCGCGAACACCAGCCAGCAAATGTACCAGAACATGTTCAGACGAACACCCATCATCTGGTGGACGCAATCGCAAAACTTCTTCACGCCGAAAATCCAGGAGATGGCGATTGTTTGAAAGAAGCAGACCCACAAAATGGACATGCCACTGGCGGAGTAGAAATCCATCAACTGGAAGATGTACACTCCGCCCTGAAGAATTAAACGTTTAACATTAATATATGTATATATATACATTCGTAAATATATGAACCATCTACTAACACGTGTCACCATGGGGACTCCCAGTAGGAACATCAAGACGCAAATGGCGATGGTAAATTGGTTTCGATGTGGCCGAAGAACATCCGGCCAGTAGTCCACGACTCCTGTGATGAAAGACTCCACGATACAGAATTCGCTGTCAATGCCCAGGATCTAAGAAGCATACAAAAGTTGATAAATGCGATCCGGTTAAGATGACTCAAAGTAACAGATCCATCATGAATCTTACAATAAGCATGACGAAGAAAATGAACGCCCAGACGGGGGCACCTGGCAACTTGAGCACCACTTCAGGGTAGGTCAGGAACACCAGTCCAGGTCCACTCTTGACGACCTCGGACACTTCCGTGCCTTGTTCAAGAGCGATGTGTCCCAAAATGGAGAATGTCACACAGCCGGCCAGAAGGCAGGTCAGAGTGTTGACTACGCAAGTGATTAGTGCATCTCTGTAAGACAAAACTCACTCTTTGACAGACTTCGATGGAGATCACTCCGCGTCTAAAGGTGTCCAATTGGCGAATGATTCGTAATTAGACCATCGATCGTCACGACGGAAACTCTTACACGACGCCAAGAGTTCTCCACCGCGAATAGTAATCGATGTCATCCCAAAATGGTCCAGTCAGAGCCAATCCCGAGATTTCCGGGACCGATGCTTACTTGTAACAGTTATGGTGGAACTTGTTGTAGGAGCCCAGAGCAGGAAGTGCCCCGGTACCGATGCTGTACGCGAAAAAGATCTGCGTGGCTCCATCTATCCAGGGTCTTGGGTTGAGGAGTTCCTCCCACCTTGGGGTTACGTAGTACAAGAGACCATCTCTGGCTCCGTCCAAGGTCGCCGCTCTTCCCAAAAGAATGAAAAGCACCACGTACGGGAACAAGGCCGAAAACCAGATGATCTTACCGCTCTGGTGGAGGCCACGTCTGATGATGAGGTATACGAGCAGCCAGCCGAGGATCAGGCAACCCAAGAGCTCCCACTGCATCCCGCCGAGATCCTCGATTCCGCTGCTAATTCCAAGCACTCTTCGGCTATAAACGAACCACACATAAAAGCGCCGTTCCAAACATCGAGTAATAATAAATAAACGCAAGAAAAAACATGTGCAACCACCAAGATACATGGACTTCCGACTTACTCCCAGAACTCCTCGACAGGGGTCGTGTGGTGAGCACTACTGTTCGCCAGGTGACTCTTATGACTCAATTTGGTCGAATTCTCGGCACTCTGAGCATCGAAACAATTCTCGGTGTTCCACCAGTTTCCTGAGCAATGAAATTACGGATTTTTCATCGCTGGTACTTTTTAAATACGTTTCTTGTTTAATTTTATATGCGCCATTTACCACAGCCACTCCAAGGCAAGCCCGGCAGGGTCGTGAAGATGCTGATGAGGTAGAACAACGTCCATGAAATGATGACGCAGTAGTAGATGTCGAGGAAGAAAACGATCGTCATCGTAGCGTAGCCGACACCTGAGAGGATTTCAGATGCAAGTTCATGAAAAATTGAATATACAATTTCAAGATAGAAGAATGTCATTTGGATGCACCGTACCCTGCAGCAATGGGCACAGCTGACCCACCAGGGTCATCCCGCCTGCACCGAGGTACTGGCCAATGGCGACTTCTTGGAAAAATATAGGTATCCCGCAGAACACCATGGCGATCCCATAGGTGACCAGAAACGCCCCTAGATCGAGACCAACGAGAAGAACATTGATTAAATCATGTCCACCTTGGAGAACATTTCGTGTTAACTTTTCTATTGGAAACTTACCGCCTCCATTTTTGTAACACAGGTATGGGAAGCGCCACACATTCCCAAGGCCAACGGAAACGCTTATACAGGAGAAGAGGAAATCCAACTTGTTGTCCCAGCCACCTCGTTCCGCATCCTCGCCGCGATTCGCCGCTTCCGGTTTCGCCGAGGAAGTGGAAACAGCCGTTTTGGGACCAGACCCGGAAGTCTCCCCGATGGCCGACAACTTCGCCTTAAATTCTATGAAGGACTCGTCCGGATCCTCCGGCGCTCTCTCTTCCTTCCAAAAGTACTTCTTATCCGCCATGTTTTCTGTAATAGGCAAATTTTCTCATATCAGTTTAAGGTGGCGTGAAAGTGGCGTCACGGATCTTATTTATGAAACTTCTTCGAACTGGGTTTACCGAATCGGTTCAAACTTTACGGTATGAACACAAAGACTCTAATGGAAGTCCCAACACCGATGTAATTTCATTTCTCTTAAATTCGTCTATAGATATTTTAGAAATCTTTTGTAAAAATGAAATTTCATGGGCGTCGAGACCATGCTCATACCCCCCATATTCACGTTGTCAATTGTTAAACAATTCGGTACACCCAGTTCGGAGGAAAGTGTCACGAACGATCGACTCCTAGGATACCACTTTCATATCCCCTTAAACCTCGACCCATAAACGTTGGAAGACTATGAATTAATATGATTAAGTCCATGAGGACCTTTCGAAAGTGACCCCTTTACATAATGAAAATATTCTCCCCGAAATTGTTCTGGGATTTCCAGTGCACTCCGTTCAATTATCGATACTCGCTCGAAGGTCAATATAAACGATCACCGTTTATCTTGCCATGGCAGAATTACAGTCCGCTGCAATATTGCGTGCAGGAAGGCTCTGAGAGTAATCGCACTGTAAATCCGGGCAATTCCGTTCCCAACCTGCCGTGCTGTGACACAGTTTCTTTGAACGATCAATGAATTCACATATCATTTCTCAGTTTAATCATTAACTGAGGGCCGAGTAAGAGTACGAGCGCAGCTTGTACAAGATATTGCGATTTTCGTTTTAACAATATATGTATACATAACAGGGCTGTATGTCCAAAGATAGGATATTACTCTAGTTCAATTGAAGTTATGTTACAGTTATGTTATCATTGCAGAGAGGAATTCATTCGACTTATAGGAGGTTATCCCCATCACCGGGCTTATTTATTTCCCTCGCTTCTTTCGCCACCTTTAAGGTGAAGTGAAACACGTCGAGGAACTTGATCGACGTCGATAAAGATCTTTCTAAATGCCTACGCTGCCGACGTTCATTTTTATATCGACAGCAGGATCGAATTATATTGAGTATTGTACCAAATGGCATACTCCACCTTTCATTTTCGTACAATAAATATCAAGAAATCGAAGTAAAACTCCAGAAATACTCTGGATTCGTGCTTTCTGGGGCCCTAATTGACTGCAGAAGGACCCCCTGCGCCATCTGTGATTTCCAGGTCAATTAAATTTTCACTCCGAGACCTCGTATTACCATCGTTTTGGTATAGAAGCGCATACAACACTTTTTTTGCCTTTATCCCGTTCAAATGCGAGTTTATCTATTACCAGAGTGCTCTAAGTTGTCGTAAAATTGTCCTGACCCTTCCGATTCTCATATTAGAGCCTTCGATAATTGTATATTGATCGAAATATGAGAGCTCGACGCCATTTTGGTTCTGGTCTGGACTGAGTTAAAAACTTTATTTGAAAAATCCAAATTTTGAAATGTGTCAGGACAATTCTTAGATGATGAGGAGTGATGTGTTAAAGTTTCGGACAGTTTGGTGTAATACCCTTAAAAAAAAGTGTTGTTTTCGTATCGACCGATTTGAAGGGTGTTTCACTTCACCTTAAGCGCCTTGTGCGTAGAAAGAAGGGAGTAAACGCGTGCGATGAACGCGTGTTAGCGCGTAGATGTCGATACCAACACGCTTCCACGTCCTGAAGGGATGCTGAGCGCAAAATCAATAGAGAGAGCACACTCGAAGCGCACGTGGATGTGTGTACCCTCTCGGCCGAGGGAGTACGCCGTTCCGGCAGCTGCAACTGCGTCTCATTGCGGAGGCCGACAAGGAGTACAGCTGGAGAAGCCACTACAACCTGAACAAAGCTGGTCCGACAATCTTAACATCGACATTGAACAATACTTCCAGAAAGCCTCACCCTCACCCGACGGCGAAACCTTGCGACAACTCAAAGCCAACCTGAATAAGAAAATAAATGCGAGATAAAAACCGCTTGAAGAAGATTAAACCCATGGAATAAAAAAAAACAACTGAAAATCACCACGAATTGCTGGTATACAAGTTGTTAAGATAGTTGCAAAATCATACAGAGTGGGTGTATAATGTTAAAACGTGCCGTGGATGACTTAAGGGGACGTGAAAGTGCCGTCCACAGAACTTGTTCATGAAACTTTTCATCGAATCAGGAGCACCGAATCGTTACGGACTTTACAACGCGAACGTGGAGGCCATAAGGAAGGTCCTCACGCTCTTTCATTTTTTATAAGAAATATTAAAAATACCTATGAAGAAATTTGGAGAAAAAAACAATAAAAACTGAAATTTCATGAGTCTCAGGACTTTCCTTACACCCTCCATATTTGTATTGTTAAGTTTGAATCGATTCGGTACACCCGGTTTGGAGAAAAGTTTGGGAACTCTTTGTCGCCACTTTCACATCGCCTTAATATAAAGGTAGAATAGGCGGGGTGAATCCGCCGGTAGTGAAAATGCGAAAGGGGTATGTGTACACTCTCACCGTCCGCACCTTCGAGGGCTCCACGCTGGGATAAGTGCGGTGATCCCCGACGTCCAAAATGTCCGCCAAGCCCCGCGAACGAACCTTGGCTGGTCGCTGGTCCCTGGTTTAATGATCGCCGGTTCGAATTTGCGTCTCGACCGCGTAAAAATTCACCACGTGCGACCTGCCCGACGAGTCACGGTCTTCTGGAGCGGCGCACCGGCTCGCCGCGGAAGGGAGCGCTGCCCCTTCGCCCGCGCATGCGCGAACCCGCGAAGCCGCCCTCGGCGAGCCACCCTGCGAGCGTAGCGGAGCCTTGGCGGAGACCTAAGGAGTCGCCCTGCGAAACTGCCGACCTTGGCCGATCCGCGACCGGAAGAGCTCAAAAAACAACTCCGGCAAATATGAAAAAAGATTCCCATAGTTTAATTACATTTTACAACCGAAGGGCAGTAAAAAAGAAATCGGTGAGCATCTCTAGATATTACGTTTGAATAACGAGGTAACCCGACAGGGTCCCTGGACCATTTATCAGGTTACCCCCGGTGATGACCGGTTTATCTTCTTCCTCCAGGGATATCCAGGAACGGAGTGCGCGATTCCTGTGATTCGTCAATTTTATTGGTTCTGCCCTGAGAAAGAAAGAAAAAAGAAACACACTCGTGGAAGAACAAAATTTCTCTACCGAGGAAATATTTCATTTAATTCATAGAATTTCACGTGAATATACTGAAATAAATTGTGATAATTCCGCTGAAACGTGGCGTCCAATTTATTCCACCTTCAGTCAATTATTCTATGAATTAGAGAAATATCTCTTCGGTACTATTCCGAGAAATATATCTCTGGTTAGATGAGATGTTTAGTTTTTTTTTTTCTTTTTCAGGGTGGTGATGGGGTTAATCGAGTGCCTCGAATGGACGCTTTTCCGGGGTCCGTTTCCCGCGACCCGAGGTATGTAAAACGCTGTACAAAAGTGTCTCTATGGTTAATAAGATGGTAATTTGACGACCCCTGATTTCTCGGGAGTCGGCGATTGATTATATCGATTTCTAGCCCTGATCTATGGGGAGGCTCAACACCCGCTGGACTTGTCGCTGGAGTTGCTGGGTATCACGGTGTGACACCCCCGGCGATGTCGCAGCTGCCTGGGAGAGAAATCGTCAGGGCGATCCGTCACTCCCGTCACGGTGACGGAGGCCCTCATCGACTTGGTCGAGGCCTTTCTCTGGGTCTCCTGGAAGCCGGAAAAATTCGGCCTCGGGGTCCAGTTGGTACCATAGGAAATTGGATGTACGTCCCTTCGAGTCGTGGCATTGACCACGTCCGTCGACATCTCGGAACGACACTCGTCGCACACCGAGCTCGCATTGCTCTCATCCATGGGAACACCCCTTGCGCAGGATATCACGTCCCTAAGCCTATAAAATCGACAAAGTATTTACACAAGATATTCCCACCTTCCAGAGTACGTAGGAACACCCGATAGACGCACCTCACGGGGGTCCAGTCGACGTAGCTCTTCCCGACCAGCAGAAGGTCCTGAAGAGCCACCAGCGAGTCCAAGATGAACGCTTGGGCTCTACTAGGAGACAACGCGAATCCAAGAGACGTCACTGCCACGATCATGGAAATAATCCAGCTGATAAAACTAGCCGAGAGCACCGGAGGCTGCAAGGGTGGCGGGTAGTACGAGGACCAGACCTTTTGCCACCACGAGTGAGGGACGTCGCGATACTCCGTGTCCTGTAAAACGGTGTATGAACTACTTTCTGGTACAATCTCAATTGAATTCCTTCCAACAATTTCATTTAATCACTTACGTAACTCCAGTAGGACCAGACCGAGCAGTACAGGACGCGTTGGAAGATGAGCCACAGCCAGAAAACGGCATTCATAGCCACCCAGCTACCAGAGACCTGCGAATGGGTTCCTGGCTCGTGATCTCGTAGGATAATTCATGAGAACGGTGGCTAATTTCAAGATTTACCTGCAGAGCCCTGTAAAGGGAAACCTTAGTGATGGGGATCGGCGACCAGGCGAAACTGGGAGGGTTCCTCCAGAGCACCATGGCAATGGCGGTGAGGATTATGAAGGAGGGCAGGGTGTGCACGAAATCCGGCCCCACGGCGATCTTGGCATACTCCTTGAAGACCCTGTGCTGAAGGAAGAGCACCTGGTGCGGCACTGACAGGAAAGTCACCACCTGCGAGTGCAGCGCGCTCAAGCAGGACATCACTGGCCTGACTGCATATCAGCGGTGGGACTTTCTTCGGATACCCGCCAGGAAGTGAGGACCTCGTAAATCCGATTTTCGCCGATCCAGCAGCCTCCTCGGATGGCTATTTCTCGAGAGACCTCGGTGACGTTCACCGAATTACGCTGAAAACAAATCACGGAAGAGCGCGCCTTTGTTTCTGGCCCCGGGCCGAAACTACTCGCGGTGTTCCGAATATCGAGGAATAATGACAGAGCTATAACGTACGGTTTATGAAACGTCCTTTAATCGCTGATTCCCGACCGCGTCTGATGGGATTTCAGCAGTTACGGTCATAAATATAATGGCGCTAGCTGGCCACAGTCGCGAGTCTCCGAGAGGAGGTGATGCGTGGAATATCGTACTCCTAGTACCGCAATAATGCAATGGAACTTAAAACTAACGGAGAGATCGATCTCTCTGTGAATCTGCGCTCGGTGGACCAGAATAGTCCCGCTGTTTTCCTGATCCGAGGTGAAGTCAAGCTCGCCACCTCGGAGAGGTTCAGACCAGACGAGGACTACGGTCACACGAGGGAATCCCCAGGGAATTATTCGAAATTCGATATCCGAAATCCGACATACGATGTGTTCCCAAGGGGTGGATATTTTGGAAAACGGTTCCGCCCTTTGGAAGAGTCCAACGACGACTTCAGTAACAATGGCAGCGATGGGAAGGACATTGAGATGGGTAGACCAGACACTTGTCCAGACAGTACACGCTGGCTCCTTCTTTTCCTGCTATTTCTCCTATGGCGTCGCATATTTCCCTGAAAAATTGTTGAATTTCAACCAAGAGGAAGAAGAATCTGGGTGACAATCTTCTTCTCCTAGATAAAAGTTAATGCGGCACTTACGGACACTCGCAGACGGTGGGCGGACAATTGGGCGGGTATCTTAAACAATTGTTCTGACACCAGTCGTTCATCCCTGGTATGCGGCGATACAACGGCGTGGGAACGCAAACCTGAGATCTGAAATTGAAATTAAAAATCATCTTTCTCTGTTTTAAATATAACAAAGGTCCTGACAGCGGGCTGAGTCGTTGAAGTATGATGAAGACGTACCTGACGATAAGGGGAAAGACGTTATTCGGAGACCGGAAGTCCCTGTAGTACAAGAGGAATGGATTGTCCTGCTGGACGAACAGCGGAGGAACTCCAGCGGTGCTGGTGACAACGCTGACATCGGCGCAGTTCCTGAAGGTCTCGGATTGGCCGCAACCAACGGCCTCCGTTCCGTTCTCGCAGGTTCCCCACATGTTTCCTAAGATAATTAAAATTTCTACACAATCCATTCGAGTAACGATCGGAGAAAATCGAAATTTCTCAGGTACCCGTGTAGTAGTTCCACTGGACCACGCACTGGGAGCAGGTGACGTACGGCGGCAAGACCACCTTGTACCTGAAGATCGCTTTTTTCTCAGTTTCCTCGGGAATGATGAACCGCACGTCCCGGGTGCCGGAAATGTACAGAGGGTACCTGAAGAAGAAATGAAAATTCAAGAACGTCGACTCGATGACCAAATTCAAGGCCTTATTCGGCATTACCGGTCGAAGCACTCTTGACTACCCTCGACCGTGGGATTGTTGTTGGGGCAGAGGTACATCTCGAATCTGCCCAGGTGGTTCGCCGTGAGTTCCACTTCCACGTCGATTTCCTGGAGAGGTACAGATATATGTCAGATCCGTTTTTCAAATAAAAAATGGATTACAGGATCAAGGTTACCTGACCGACGGTGTAGTGCCTGACGATGGTGCCCTTCGCGTATTCCCCTCCTGCTTCGTGTGGCCTGGGCTGGCTCAGGTGATATGCATCTCCACATGTCCCACAGCGACCTTTATTCTGCACCCATTGGACTGCACCCAATTTCGGGTTAGCGTTGCATGCGTGTAAAAAGAGGAGAAAGCGGCCCTTCTCGAGATTCGCTCGAGAAAGGCAGAAATCCCCACAACTCGGTTTTCCGAGGTCGGCTGCGAATTCTGATCTCTTTACCCGGACAAGAAACTCCAGTCCAAACGGACTTTCCCTTATTTCAATTACAAATCATTCTAAATATCCCGATTTTTGTGGTAGTTCTATATTATCAGTAATTAAGCAACCGCATTGAAGAACGAAAAGGAAGCTCGATGGAATTTGGTATCGCTGTCCAAAGGTAGTCTAATTAGGTAGATTTTGTTAATCTATCGTCATGGACAAGACGACATACCCAAGGTAAAGGCACCCCTTATTTAAAATATCCGTAAATAGATCTACCCTTGGATTTTAACGCAATCGATAGAGTCGACTCCGCCCGTACCATGCGAGGCGTTTAAATTCCGCTTTATGGACTATCTAACGAGGGACTATTTACTCGGAAATTAGGTAAAACGATTTTCTTCCGTGAGAACCGAGTACCTTCGATTTCAAATGACGAACAACAATGCGATTCGGTAACGAGTGATTTCCTGAGTGAATAACCCTTCGCTATCTCGATCGAAGAGGTGTTAGAAATTGATAACGAACCTGCGTACCCGCCGCAGAAGAGCTCGTTATCGTTGTAATTAACCGGATTGGGGAAACCAAACCTCCACATGGAATTTCTAGCAGGTGGGTCCATCAGCCGACCGTGTCCATCCGTCTCCTTAATGATCTTGATGCCATGAAACCAGAAGAATAAAAAGGAAAATCAGAGCAACAGAGTAAAGCCCAAAAAACGGGAAATTCCTTAAGGGGTTACACCACTTTGACCCATCCAAAAATTACGGTTTTTCAAGAATTTTTGTTTAAGAATTAAAACGTTTTTATCCAAATTAAAGTACAGTAAGGTATTATACTACTATTAAACAAAAAATGCTTTTTTTTGTGTTTATTTTTTATTTACAAAAATGGCGGCTTGAAAGACGATTTACCGGAGTGCTGCGAAAATCGATGATCGTGTGGTGGGCACGATAACTCAGTCCAGATTTAAGTTAGAACAATAAACGAAAAAGAATTATTTTCTGTAGCCCAAAAGCTAGGGAAATACGTAGCCGTTTTCAAAAATATGCATTTTTCACAAAATGGCATCGATTCGAAAGGAAAGATACGTATTTTGCCCTAAATTTCGTTAATTAATGTTGCATAAAAAACGCGAATATCAATACATTGAAAAAACCATACGTATTTCGCTAGATAAACATATCACGAATAAAATAAAAAAATAATCAAGACGATTGATTGAAAATTGGCGGAGCTAGAATGCCCACCGATTTTTAAAATGCAGTTTTAAGAAAAACGCATTTACACCTATACACCTGCCCACCGCACGATCACCGATTTTCGCAGTGAGCGAGTTTAATAGTAGTATAATACCTTACTGAACTTTAATTTGGATAAAAACGTTTTAACTCTTAAAACTAAAATTCTTGAAAACCCGTAATTTTTGGGTGCGTCAAAGTGGTGTAACCCCTTAAGCGAGTTAAGTTACTTCCGCTACCGGGACTTTCTATCTCCCTCGATTGGTTCTTTTCAGGTGTCCGAATTTACATGCAACTGTCGCACCTGGCAGTGCATTCTCAAGTATCGCGGGTAAGATTGCATAATGGGTGCTCTCACCTGCAGGAACATGCACAGCAGAACAGGAACAAGACGGCGACATCGGAGTCGAGGGACCATAGTTTCTCTGAAATCGACAGAAGAAAAAAAGGTCCGATAAATCGTACAATCGGGTAAAAATCATTTTTCATAAGATACGACCAAACAGATACCCCAGTAGCACAAAATATTTATCCTATATTATCTATATATTTAACGAATATCGTACATTTTCTTAATATTTAGCAGACATTTGAAATATTTGCAAAACGTTTACTTTAGAATATTATCTCTATAATATTTATATAATATTAGCTCCATGTGTTTTCATAATATTTTTCTATCAGATATACAAAACATTTCGTTTCATTTTAGTACAAGTATTTTTTAAATATTATCTGCCGAATACATTATAAACGTTTTAAAAAGATTTAAAATCAAAATCACACGTTTTGCTCCCATAATGAAATAGCGGAACGAAAATGTTACCAAAATTTCTCGTCTTTTTTGATACCAAATGAAGTGTCCGATAATAGGCGTGAAGTAAAAAATGTATTTTTATTATGTTCATAGGTTAAAAAATATAATTTCTATATATGTTTATAAGACTAGATTTTTATAAGACTAGTTTATAAGAAACTAAATATGTCATTGAGATTTTCAAGAAATATTTCAAATATCTTCGAATGAAATCTACAAGAAATCTTAAGAAAAATCTGCCGCTTGAGATATTTAGCAAAGATTACAAAGAAATATTCAGAAATTATTCTATGCTACTAGGGTATGATCACTATCCTTCTCTAGGCATCGTTCGCCGATTTTCTCCCCGCTTCGCGTAAATATTTGCCCGGTTAATTTATAGATAGATGCGAATTCAAAAATGAAAGACAAGCCGGCGCGGATTCGGCCTTCTCCGGGAATCCGGTGAGTCCGTTCCTTTTTTCATTCCTCCGGGAGAACGGTTTTATTTAGCGAAATTTTTATTCATGAGAAAGGGATTTCCCGATAACCCGGTCCAGATTATCCCGACTTCCCAAAGCCAGAATTTCGGCTCTCGGGCAACATTCTTGAGGACTGACGAAGTCGAAAAACGCACGCCGAGAAGAAATCCCCCGATCGATCGACGCAAATGTCGGAGTGTTTGCACCTGCAGGTGCGTAGAGAATGCGACAACAATTTCCTCGGTCGGTAATGACGATCGATATGGTTGTTCAATCACGACCCTCGAGATATGTCATCAAAGGAGGCCATTGTAGAAACGAATGTCAGGGGCGCTCTTGCAAAATATACAACCAAAGTCAATTGAATTACAAGAAATGTTCAACATTATAAATTAAATTTATATCCGGAGATTAGCCTTCGATTTGTTAAAAACATACGGAGCCGTTAAATATTTAACGCAAGGCAAAATCGATTAGATAATCAAGTCTCTATCTGAATCTTAAGTCTTTAACAATGATTAGGAATTGAAACGCACAAAGAGAGGACATTTATGGAATAAAATAGATATCATTCCTCGACTTCTCAATAACGATCGATATGGTTGTTCAATCATGGCCCCCGAGATATGTCATAAAAGGAGGCCATTGTAGGAACGAATGTCAGGGGCGCTCTTGCAAAATATACAACCAAAGTCAATTGAATTACAAGAAATGTTCAACATTATAAATTAAATTTATATCCGGAGATTAGCCTTCGATTTGTTAAAAACATACGGAGCCGTTAAATATTTAACGCAAGGCAAAATCGATTAGATAATCAAGTCTCTATCTGAATCTTAAGTCTTTAACAATGATTAGGAATTGAAACGCACAAAGAGAGGACATTTATGGAATAAAATAGATATCATTCCTCGACTTCTCAATAACGATCGATATGGTTGTTCAATCATGGCCCCCGAGATATGTCATAAAAGGAGGCCATTGTAGGAACGAATGTCAGGGGCGCTCTTGCAAAATATACAACCAAAGTCAATTGAATTACAAGAAATGTTCAACATTATAAATTAAATTTATATCCGGAGATTAGCCTTCGATTTGTTAAAAACATACGGAGCCGTTAAATATTTAACGCAAGGCAAAATCGATTAGATAATCGAGCTTCTATCTGAATCTCAAGACTTTAACAATGAGTAGGAATTGAAACACGCAAAGAGAGAACATTTATGGAATAAAATCGATTTGTGAATGGAAGAAATATCATTCCTCTCTCAGTGGGGATGAAAGCATCTCGGGTAAGAAAACACCTCGATTTTAAGGTCGTTTAATGACCCGGGCCAACAAGTCTCCGAAATATTCGGACGTCGTCCACGGATTCACGAATCCCATCAGAGCTGGAATGGACTCATTACTATGCACCGATCCGTGGGCAGAAAAAGGGCTCTCGACTAAAACGGTCCATTCGACTCGGTTGCGATTCCTCCTCCCATTTCCACCACGTCAACGATTTGTTAAAAACGTACGGAGCCGTAAAATAATTAACGCAAGGCAAAATCGATTAGATAATCAAGCCTCTATCTGAATCTTAAGTCTTTAACAATGACTAGAAATTGAAACGCGCAAAGAGAGAACATTTATGGAATAAAATCGATTTGTGAATGGAAGAAATATCCTTCCTCTCCCAGTGGGGATGAAAGCATCTCGGGTAAGAACACACCTCGATTTTAAGGTCGTTTAATGACCCGGGCCAACAAGTCTCCGAAATATTCGGACGTAGCCCACGGATTCACGAATCCCATCAGAACTGGAATGGACGCATTACTATGCACCGATCCGTGGGCAGAAAAAGGGCTCTCGACTAAAACGGTCCATTCGACTCGGTTGCGATTCTTCCTCCCATTTCCACCACGTCAACGAATAATCTCAACCAAGGCTATTAACCGTCCTTTAAGTATTATTTAAATATATCCTCTGACATATATTGCGATTCTTCCTCCCATTTCCACCACGTCAACGAACAATCTCAACCAAGCCTATCCATCCTTTACCCATCCTTTAAGTATTATTTAAATGTATCCTCTCACATACACACCTAAGTCCGTACGTTACTAAGAGAACCCGTCTCGGAAATTGAAAACATTTCCTTTTAATTAATCTTCGAGTATTAACACAATTTCCATGAACCTCTTCGTTAATGTAAGTTAGGGGATAATTCTCGTGATTAATTATCGATATTCACGGTGAAAGAGAGATGATACAAATGAACCATGTAAATAATCACCGCAACGAGTACCGAACGCACTAGAGCAATTCATGGAAAAATGATCGAGAGTAATTATTAATACTTAGTGTGATTCTCATTGACTTAGAAGTTCCACTTCCAACGCGCGTCGAAGCCGCTAACGTAATTTTCTTTTTATCCTTCATTTGTGTACCAGTGGAGGAAGCGCTCTTCCAGGAGGAATTCGAGTGTGCGAAGGAATCGAATATGCGACCGAGAAATAATGCCGAGGGTCGATTCTCGTCGAGTACCTTGACACTTGTCGTGGCTTAGGACGCGACTCGAATTCGATTAAGAAGTGTGTGGCAATTTTCTGTTGGATTCGCGATACACGTGGAGAGGAAAAGTTCGCTTCGACGAGAATAAAGGCCTCGTAACGTCCACGGAAACAGGCACGTCCTGGTCGTTTACAAGGCATTACATATGCACTCGTCGTAAGAAGTGCCGATTGAAAGCTTAATTTAATTTTTATTCTATCATAATCTTAACTTAATCTTAACATAATCTTAACTACCTCTCCGCGATTCGCGCGATCTTAGCCAAAGGTGCGAATAGACCGTAGACGTCAACGCTCGCAAAATGGGATTTCGGTAGATAATCGTCAGGGCCGTTAATTATAAATGCGAAAGATCCGTTAGCTGTCTCGTTTTAAGTTACTCTTCCCGCATCCGCCTCGTTATACCACGCCCGCGGATTATGCAAATCAATTTTTGGCAGGATAACGATCGCTCCCCTACACAGTCCGCATAACGCTACAATCTCTTTTAATAGGTAGATACCGAATAAATAATAAATTTCAATCGTTAGAAATTCGTCACCAGCCTGATCGCTCCTCTACACGATTTGCATACCGCGTTGTAAAGAACGTATTAAGAGGATCCGTGATCGACATGTAGAAAAAAAAGCCTTGGCTTATCGTCACTCGCCCCCAAGGCTCCTGATGTCAAATCTTGCGTAAGAATGTCGCCTAGCAAGATGTCAAGTCAATGCAGCCTTGTAAATAGTTAACCTCGATATTCGATTCTCCCCCGAAATCCCAATTTCCGAGTTAATAAAATCGCGAGAAAAAACGCCTATTCCCCCTTATCCGTCTTACAACGTCATTACTGTTCGTTGTTAATTAACCAGCAACGAAAGATGAGGTTTGTTTCTCGAAACAAAAAAAAAGATAAATAGTTTACCTCGATATTCGATTTTCCCCCGAAATCCCAATTTCCGAGTTAATAAAATCGCGAAGAAAACGCGTATTCCCCCATATCCGTCTTACAATGCCATTACTGTTCGCTGTTAATTAACCAGCACTGAAAGGTGGAGTTTGTTTCTCGAAACAAAAAAAAGATAAATAGTTTACCTCGATATTCGATTTTCCCCCGAAATCCCAATTTCCGAGTTAATAAAATCGCGAGAAAAAACGCCTATTCCCCCTTATCCGTCGCACAACGCCATTACTGTTCGCTGTTAATTAACCAGCAACGAAAGGTGGGGTTCGTTTCTCGAAACAAAAAAAAAAGATAAATAGTTTACCTCGATATTCGATTCTCCCCCGAAATCCCAATTTCCTAGTTAATAAAATCGCGAAGAAAACGCGTATTTTCCCTTATCCGTCTTACAAGGCCATTACTGTTCGTTGTTAATTAACAGTAACGAAAGGTGGGGTTCGTTTCTCGAAACAGAAAAAAAAAGAAGAGAGAGAATTAAAAACAAAAAAGAATGTGGGAATGCCGCGAGGAAGGAATTAGCACCTTCCTCTAGCTAAATTCCCGTTTCGGTGAGGAAGACTTTCTTCTTCTCTTCTCTTTTTCCCATTTCTTTCCACGCATTTACTGAACGTACATCGGTCCGGTTCGGTCTCGTTAAAGCAACCGGGTCATAATTGCCGAAGTCTGTTCCTGCATATTAAAAAAGGAACGGAATAAAGGGGCGAAAGCAAGACACGCAAACGCGGACGCGTTACCTCTTAAGCCGGCGCGGCTCAGAAATGCATCGGGAAAGAAATATACAGTTACGATAAAAGCATACTTAAAAAAGAGAACCGTTGAGAAAAATAAAGGATACAACATATGGCGCACCCGAGAGAATAAAGTGCGCGAGAAATATTTTATATAAACCGTTTCCATAAAGCCATCGCGCCACGTGGAGCAGGTTGCGGTACTAATATGCCCCTAAAAAACATGGTCTTCGACGACGCACCATAAACCCCGATTTTCAAGTCAAGGGAATTTTTCAACTTCCTACTTACAAACGGCCGACGCGAGACCTTAAATATTTGTACTCAAGAAATATGTGTACTCGAAAAAAAAGAAGGGTGGGGGATTATTTCCGCAATTGTGCACCACAGGGAAGAGCCCATTATGCAGCCGAACTCGGCAGAGCCTTGGAACGCACATCTCTAATTGCAAGAGTAAAAGAAGCGGAGGACGTCTCGGAAAATAAGAACAGTGAGGGAGGGAAAAAGAGGAGAAGTAGCCGCGACAACACCGGGTGAAACTTGAAACTCTAGAGGTGTCGAATTTTTCGAAGCGGGGGGTACCAGGTGATAAGAAATATTACTATAAATAGAGTAAACCCCGTATGTAATGTTATATCGAGTACAGGTACTCTTCCAGGTGTGACGGAAGATCAGGTGGAATCAGGTGAGGTGAGAACTAGTTATCACCGTTATCACTGTCAGAGGGTGAGTGGTGACATACCGGTGCAGGTAATAAGAAATATCATTATAAATAGAGTAAACCCCATATGTAATGTTATATCGAGTACAGGTACTCTTCAAAGTGTGACGGAAGATCAGGTCGGGTCAGGTGAGGTGAGAACTAGTTATCAGCGATATCACTGTCGGAGGGTGAGTGGTGACATACCGGTGCAGGTAATAAGAAATATCATTATAAATAGAGTAAACCCCGTATGTAATGTTATATCGAGTACAGGTACTCTTCCAGGTGTGACGGATGATCAAGTCGAATCAGGTGAGGTGAGAACTAGTTATCAACGATATCACTGTCGGAGGGTGAGCGGTGACATACCGATGGAAGTAATAAGAAATATCATTATAAATAAAATAAACCCCGTATGTTATATGTTATATCGAGTAAAGTGAGTCATGTGTAGTGAAAACGAGGTATCAGCGATATCACTGTCGGTGGGTCAGTGGTGACTTACCGGTGCACACGTGACCGGCTTGCCGAAGAGTCGCAACCGAATCGAGCCGATGACCCGAGTGGCGACACGCGTGAAGGACCTCTCCTGGTTTGGGCTTCCTCGAGGCGATCGGGGCCGGTGTCGACGAGGAACGGGCGTCGATCAGCGTCGATCGGCGTCGCCAGTCCAAGTGCGAGGCGCCGATTTCGAGGCTGGCCCGGGAGCGAGCGCCTCGACGCGTCGGGAGGAGGACCCAAACGAGGAACCAGAGTAGGAGGAAAGCGAAGAAGAGGGATGGAAAGAAGACGAGAAACGAAGCAAAGAAAACGAGGGTAAATAACCGAGGAATCGAGCGAGAGAAGTACCCTGATAAAAATCGACGGTAATTTACATACATTTTTGCCCGCCCCCTAACTTAAGTTTCCCACACGAGAACATAAAAAGGAGGAATTTACAAATTATGATATGTATAAATACCCCTATCGTATATCTACCGAATTGGCTCATCTTTACTTCAAGTTATTCTAACATTATATCGTAATTTCCTATAATCACAACTCGGATGATGGATGTGATATTACGGAGACAATGTGATTTTCCTGGAATTTATCGTGGCATCGAAATCACCATCGTTGGGTATAACAATTTGCGTGGGCATTTTCATCAGTGTAGGGCAAAAGGAGGAAAGGACCGATGGAGGCGAGCGACCTCCGCGCGCTGCCGGACCGCCTATATCAGACGCTCGTTTAACACATTCGCGACGGGATGTACCACCGGTGGTACGCATCGAATGGCAAAACCAACGGTTCAAAATTACCCCGGCGTGAACGTGTTAATGTACGGATAATTTCCATAGACCAGGATTATTCTATACGTGTTTTCGGACCTTTTAATAGCGATTTACGCGTCGATTGTTCTATGGGCGGCGAAAATCTGGACACGAGGAATTCGAATTCGTCTTTCAGGATTCCTTTCACTTCTGCGCCGGTACGCGGCCTTCCGAAGGCTCCCCAGAATGATTATAAGTCACTTATGTAAAATTAATGTAACGGAATCACGCGACTCGCTTAAACGAGGAGAAACGATCGTCCCCGGGGTTTGGACGTGAGATATGTTTCTCTCCCGTTGAAGTAAAAGTATGTGGTAAAAAGGATATACAAGACCCGCAGGGTACTGTTGGGATTGGAGGCGCTTCACCGAGTATGAGTCATTATTTAGACTAACAGAAGTGTACGAGATCCTTGTTCTTGGGACTGGTAGCGAAAAAAAAAAGAAAAGCAACACAAAAATTAATTTCCCAAACCGGTAATGTAAATCCGACCACCTACATCATCTTCGTAGGAGCTGGACCATCCGCTCTGTCGAAAGTATCTTACGGTGCGCGACGATACCGTTAATGATATTAATGGCACGACAATTATCAGGATCGTTTGCAACATTTACCGTTGGAGGTGCCTAACGGGTCAGAATAAATCTGACAATACCGTGAAAATTGAACAATTCATAACAGCTTTATTCACGATAGTGACTGTTCGAGCCTGGTTCAAATGATTGCTGCACTCTACACCGCTCCATAGAACGCAAATATACACATTCACTTAGGAGACGCGATAGTAAACGCCCATAAAATAGATAATACGATGCAAACCACTTTGATAACACTCATAAATTATTTCCCATTAACGATATCTAGAGGTCTATTCAGGGGATGTTAACTCATGTGACGATCCTACCAAACCATTAACTCTGCCTGCTGGGTGATTTATAAAATCTAGAAAATAAATATTAAATATTATTATGACCTATTAGAATAATTTAAAATAGTCCTACTATATCGCTACTTTATCGCAAATTATGGTAAAGTCTTTCTCTCGCGAGTTAGATTCGATCGAAGTCAGATATTGTGCTAGGTGTAATGTACATGTTATTAAGTATGCAAGGTTTCTTTTGGCAAGGTCCTCTCCTCGTTTGGTTACAGCTTGCACAGGCAAAACAGTAGAGGTATGAAAGCACCGATTGCTATAAAAACTGGCAACATGACCGACGAATCGTCCATGGAATAAGGATCTGGCGTGCGAGGACCACTTGTGTGCCTATTCCTTACGATGGATTCCTCTTCATCCTCTTGCATGCCGTGATATTCTTCCGCTTCATGAGGTATCGGTTCAAGTTGAGGAACATCTAAAATTAAATTTATCGATTAACGTTAAACGACTCCACTTCGGTTATTTTACCATCAAGTTCGTTACATACCCTCCAGTTTTCCCTTGATTACAGCAATGGCATTTATCTTTGGATTATCCCGATAACCCTGATAATTATAAAATACGTTAACCGTTTATCAGATATGCTATTTCCACAGTCCGTGGAGAAAGTAAACATACCTTTATAAATTCTACTCGGATTTTACCGCCAAGTATATCCGACTCTTCATCATTGTATATCAACTTGCCCCTTTGTACTTTGAATGGAATGTATTCGTCGTGCGCAATGCCCCTACCAACCCTCTCGAAAATATCTAGGTCGGTAACGACTGTATGATCTCCATTTAAAACGACGTCAAATACCTAAATATAACGAGCAAATTAGTACTATCCGTTACTAAAAATTCAGATATTTCTTAAATTAAGAGCAGTAATACCTTCATGTTCGGTGAGTTGAAGTAAACCTCACAGAATTTCAAAATCATGACGTAATCCCCATCCTCACTGATCGGTATTTCATAGCTAAACGTACTGTGGTGATAACGCTCGGTCTGGTATAATATCTGATCCATGGCGTTCACACGACCGATTATCAGTTGTTTTCCATAATCCGAAGCTGTTCCTACCTTACTCATCAAGAGGGGGTCTCTAACATACGTGATGCCATAGCTATCGGTGTGCGCTTCACCGCCGGCATTAATAGCGTAAATAACTTCGAGGCAATTCGCTCGCGGGACGAAAGCGCTGAGAAAAGTCGCCGAGAAAATCAGGAGATTAAATTTCCGTCGAACTCCGTGCGTCCTGGCGGGATACATTTCATTCAACTGGTGAAAGCTTCAGCTCTTCCTGAGACGTAACAATTTCATAACTCGCACCATATGAATGGGTGCCCGAGTAAGGCTAGAATGGATTTTAGGTTAACCTAGATTTCGCGTCATACCGCGAGCCATATAAAAATCCCAGAACCACGTTCGACGCCGATTGTTATCATTTGCACCACAAACTTCCTCGCGTTCAAGATCAAAGATACGAAGCGTGTCCCAATTGCAACGATTTTGAATATTAGCACTACTGCCACTGGCTTCCGGAGCAATGAACACGTATACAAAAACAGGGTTGCCAGATCGGAATTGATCAGCGCCATCTACCAAGAGCCGGCGAAGTTACTACCGAAGTGGTTATGGCTGTCACCGCTAGATGCCATCAGTGCCCGCCAAGAGAGAAAAAGAAAGAGAAAGAAATACCTCTCGGCTTCCCAAGGCAGCGGCAAAACTTAAATTCTTCCCGCATATGGAGTAGAAAATCAAGACAATCTTCCAGAGCATCATTCTTTATACGTTAATCATATCACATATCTCGATTCATACATAACAAACCTAAATTTGTTACAAAGATGTGATAAATTAATGTTTGTAGAAACAGGTCTGTTAATAGAAATTGAAACTTAAACAATTGTGATTGGAACGCCGTGCCGACCTGTCTGCGTTTTCCCGTAAAAATGTTCGCAATGCCCGGACACGATCGGACAAATAAATAATCGTATCCCTGAAAAGCATTTGAAAGCCTACATCGTGAGAAATAAAGCCGCCGCCCTTCCGACACCGTTATGCCCGATCAAGTAGAAGTAAAACTAAAAATTCTTACACGGATTTCCCCGCGTTCGAAGTTCCACGAGTTCATTCCCGAAAAACGTCCCCCTCGGATGCATCCGTGCATCGGCGCAGCTCTCCAATCGACTTCTTAACAATTAATCATGTAATTCATAATGCGAAAAGGAATTATACATATCACTGGACGCCGCGAGCTTGTACCACGATTCCCTTTAAGGGACTTTTGTAACAAACTGTAAAAATTAAGTACGGTGTAATGTGTACAATTTTTGTTCTCTTTTTTTTCTTTCATAGTCTCGATGCATATAATTTATAAGAAGACGAAGACTCGAGAACCAACAAGAGAAGACCGATCTTCGTTCGCGAAGGCCTCAACGAGGCGTTTTTCTTACAAATGAAAAGGTTTAAAACGCAGTCATAAGTGGTCCAAACTCGCGGCGTAGGATCGCATAAAAACCAGGACATCGGCTCTCTCCCTCGCTCGCCATCTTTCTTGCCGGATAACAATAAAATAAAGCTTAACCTTTCTTGCGTGTACGACCCAATATGCATGCTCTTTGCAGTCCCGGGGCTTTGCGGGGATAGGAACGGCAGGAGATAGGGCTAGGTCGCAGGACATTCCGCCTGTTTCTTCTCTCTCTCTCTTTTTTTGTCCATTTTCCATGTAAAGTACACCGATGCGCACTTCCAGGCCGTAGTGCTCTCGGCCCTCCCCTTTCCTCTTCCATGGGACAGAATTCAGACGCAGCCTGAAGCGTCGAGTCTGCACAACAGTTATTAATATTCAACCGACACCAGAATGAAGGGAAATATACAGTACAAAAGTCGAACCGCCACCTCGAGATTCCGTCCCTTGTCCTCCTCTTTTCCAAAAAGTATAAGAAAAAACGAGGTACATGAAGGCCTCTCTTTCGGGGGCCTCCACATGTCGACATGGCACCCCTTTGATACCCGGCAAAAACTTTCTCTAAACGACTCGTCCACCCTAAAACGACGTAATGGAGTCGAACACCGCAATCGCGCAACGTGTACAAAATGGAAGGACGCGGCAACGATCATATAAAAAGGATGACGAGTACAAAAGAACGCGTACAAGGATAAAACTCGCAGCTCGTCGCTCCTCGACAGAGGCGACGATGTCCTCTTTGATGAGCCGGCTCGGAAGTGGCGCACGCCAAGACCAACTACCCATGATTTGCCGGGTCGCAAGTACATACACAAAGCCTCCTAGAGATTTAACCAGAATAGAAAACCTCAAGTTGACATTAAAGTATAATTTCACGTCGCCGTAGCCCGGTGGAACCACCTGGAACCGTTCTTAAAGCGTCGTACCGTCGAAATTGAACTTTGCAGCAGAGGAGGCCCCTCGCACGTGTACTGGACGCCTCGGCAAATCCCGCGCAATTGCTCTAAAAAATCCTAGTTCACAACACCACTCGATTAGTTTAGACTTTTCAATCGAGCCTCTCCCTTTGATGTCGTCAAGGGGCAGTAAAAATAGCACCCTCTTCACCAGAAGACCCGAATCCTATCAGCTGACCTTTCGCCAAGGTACCGCGAGGCGTCGACTCAACGACTCCTATAATCGATTTCTAAAATATAAACTATATACCGATGTGTACAACTAGGGGACAACGTGTCGACGAGCGCTGTCCACGTCCGACACGGAGCACGACGGCAAGGCGACGAGGCGGGGGTCGACCTGGCGAACATTCGCGACCTCTGGCCCGTTCGATTGATACGATCAACATTCCAAGAATCGGGAGGACCTTTCCGGCGGCACGGCCGGTTAATTCCGACTAGAAAACAACAATCTCCCCGCGACCGAAGAGAACGGCACGCTAATCCGAGAATCCTTCGGCCTTTCAGGCTCCTCTGGGACCATCGCCGAGGACGAATCCCAGGGTAACACCAAAACCTCCAGGAATATCCATCGACCACTTTTGGCATCTCTTCGCGGCAAGCAGTCGTCTCAGACTCCGAATCATGGGTGTTTCCAGGACACCTCTTTAAATTATAGAAAACATCTTGAAGAAGGTGCCTCCAGTGGCCATCGCGGATCAATGACTGGTCGATCGGCGCTTCCCTGGAGTTCCTTGAGTTTAACTCCTGGAAATCCTCTGTAAGGCTCCAAGAGGGAAGACTGGAAGAAGAGAGGACTCCGGAGCGGCGTCTGCATCGGCCGCGAAATTCGGGGCGCCTGAGCTTGAGCAGTTTTAGGATCATCGGCGGAGTATACTCCGAATTGACGTTAGGGCGCCCTAGAAGGCGAGCGATCGCCGATCCAGCCGCGTTGGCGAGGGAGCGACAGCTAGACGAGGAACCGGGCGGAGAACAACGTGCGACCCGACGGTGGATACGGGGATGGGAATGGCGATTGGTAAGCCCCGGGAAGGGCAATGTCTCTCACGTGAGTAACGTGTCGTCCAGCTCTTCTATTTTACCCTCGGGCTGCGAGAGGACCTTGCGTAGCACCTTGCTCACCACGTCCGAGAGGGACTCCTTCGCCCCTACGTCCAGCAGTGCCATGCAACGCTGAGGATCATATAATTAGTTCAAATTCATCGAAAATACGCGCATTTCTAAACGAAACGTGTTCAAGTACCTGGTGTTCCTCGTCTCCTTGCTTTAGCCTCAACACGGCAATGAGGGCGAGCTCGCTGTTCGCCTTGACGTAGCCGTTCTTCTCCTTCGTGCCGTTGACCAGCATCGGCAACAGCGATTTCAGAAGCTCCGGAGACATCTTCTCCGACGAGATGTTCCTCGCCAAGTGGATGCACACCCTGGCCAGGAGTTGCTTAACGTCGTTGCTGCTGTGGTTCATCGACTGCGGAGGAAACTCGAGATGTAGCTATGAAGAGGACGGAGCAAAGTGCAGGAAAATGATCCAAGCAATTATTTACCCTGACAAATGGCGTTAGGATCTGCTGAGGAATCGGCTGTCCCTCGTTCATAAGATACTGGAACAGGTATCCACAGACGCGCACGCCGTTCATGGCTATTTGAACCTTATCGGCGGCTAAATAGGAGAGGATCACTTTGCAAACTCGATCCTTTTCCTTGTTGGTGTAGACCGTTTCCGGTGCCTCCTTCAGCGCGACGAAGAGCGCAGCGGATCGACCGTGCCTCAAGATCCAGTCGGCGTTCACGTCGTTACCTGACAATTCGGTAAATGGTTTGTAATAATAAGATTCAATTTTATTACAGGTTAAAATAAAATTGAACGTGGTAACTCTTGGGTGAACTTACACAACAAATGATCGTTGAACGCCGTGGCAAGTTGTTCAGGGGTTAACCATTTTAGAATGGCGCCATAACAGCCGGCTGCTGCATTTCTGGTGACGTCTTCCGGGTAAACAAGCATCCCACTCAACGTGGCAAAGACTTGTCTTCTCATCGGTTCGGTCATCTTGTCTCCAGCAGGTGTAAGTACACCTCGAAGAGCTTGCAACATCGTCTCTCTAAGAAGATAAATTTGCCGTTTGGTCTACGTATTTATAGTTCCACTAAATATTGATGCTTATAGAAAGATCAATCGCGTGGAAAAGCTAAATCAATTGTGTCACCTGATTGCAGGATCATCGGAAGTCTTGATACCGGTGTGCAGTTCCGCAAAGAGGGGGTCAGCACGAGTGTGGATAACGATGAGATTGCTCAGCGCATAAGCAGCTTTCAGTCTGACCTGTCGATTGCTGTCATTGAGTGCTTTCAAGAAAGTGGTCTGAAGCTGTGGCAAGAACTGCTTCAACATTACTCCGACCTGCCAAAAATAAATTAAAAATCGTGATGCGTATTTCAGGGATAAGTGAAATAGATACTTTGAGGCAAAGTAATTTCTCACCTTTCCTAACAGAATTGCAAGGGTTTCCAGAACAGCAGCCTTCACGCTCCAATTAAAACGATCTCCTAAAATACGAATAAGTGGTCCAGTAATATGAACCACGCTTGGCTGCAGAGCACTGGCACTGGTGAGACGAATGACTTCCCCGAGTCCTTGGGCAGCCTGTTCTTTTGCTTCCGGCATGCCAGTTAAAATGGCTTCCCTGAAGATGGGCAATATCGGGGTAATCCCTTTTGGTAAACAGAATCCAGGAAGCAGTTCTTGTCCCTTCAGATCCGACACAGCGAAGCGTACAGCTTGACGGATGTCTTGAACATGAGCTATTTGCTGGTCCGAACCCAAGGTCTGGAAAAGCAAAGACGATGAGAAATGGCAAGGGCCTATAAACGTTCCACAGTTAATCACATAATTTTATAGACGTCCTACCTTCGTAACAGCTGTCAAAGCCTCCCAGCTCATCTGCAGGACATCTTTGTCATCATCGGTGAACAGATGAATCAGTCCTCGGAGTAATTGAGGAATATACTGGCTATAATCAGCCCTGGTGTCACGACAGAATGTACACAACAGAGTAGCAGCACTACGTCGCCTTGACACATCTTCGGATCTTGTGGCGTCCATCAGCTGATCCATGACAGTCCTGACACCGACCTCATCGGTGACAGATAAAATTACTGCCTGACAGTATTCCAGCTCTTGAACCTCATTCGCTGTACCTTGGGCACTGGAGAGAGCAGTCAGCAGAGCTGGTAATATCTTATGTAGGAACCTTGTCAAAGCGTCGCCAGCTACGCTAGCCAAGATCGACAAGGCTTTCGTGTTGACAGGTGGTGATGTCAATTGGGGTACCAAGTAGGGGAGAACGACTCGAGACTTGATTGTCATCACTTGGCGTAGACCATCCAGAGTGTTTTCAGCCTCTGCTTGATCTGGAGAATTTAATTGAGTCAGCATCGCTGGAAGGATGTCATCGAGAGCACGAACTCCCACTGTCGAGTGTAAACTGTCGAAGGTCTTCGCTGCAGCTTGCCTGACTTCTGGCAGTGGATCGCAGAGAGCTTTCCTAAATGTATTAACATTATAATGTGTAATTATATTTTATTTTGAATTTTCGAGATATCAAAAAGTAATAAATCTCTTAAACATTCGAATAGTACTAAAGATATCATACCTTACGGTAGGAACAAGGCTATTAACAAACGTGAGGACCATATCCTTGCTAGTGCTGGCCATAATTTCAGACAGTCCGATGCATACACCCTGTCGTTGGTCAGCCTGTTCGCTCTGAAGACCCCTCTCCAAAATGGGAATAATCTCCGGTAGAACTCGCTCTCCTAATTTTCTGACTAAATCACCCAATGTTCTGGCAGCCACCTGTCTCTTGTCAAAACTCGTGCTTGCCAGACATCCCAACAACAGACTGAACAAGGTTGGTAAGATCTCACGTAGGGTTCTCGGTGTATTCGTCACCACAACTTTCCAAACATGAAGCGCTGCTTGTCTGACCATGAGAGCAACATCGGACCGTCCCATGTACAATCCAGCTAACACTCTGTTCCTTCTTTCAGCTCCTAGAGCGTTAATGATCGCATAATGAGACTGTTCAGTGCCAAAATTGTCATCTTCGCTGGCAGTCTCCGTGGACATCTTGCCGGAAACTCCAGATATCCTATAAAGTAGATCACCTAATAGTTGCACCGAAGAATACCTGATACGCCAGTTGTCATCGAACAGCCCCTTCTCCAGTTCTGGCAATAACAGCATAATCGCTGAGTCAGCGTAGAGGGTTACAATTCTCTGACCAGCTCTCAGAGCAGTCTCTCTAACATATTCGTTCTCATCAGCCAAAGCTTTCAAAATCGGATTAATTATCTGTCCGATATAAGGAGTAAACTCCGTAGTAAATGCACTTGGCATGTATATGAACATCATGATGTATCCATCCTTAACGTGAGGAGCTATGTCCGTTCTTTCAGCAGTACTTATGATCTCCGGCATGAGCTTGTGTAATTTCTCCACACCTAGTCCTCGAACAACTTCGGAGAGACCTTGGGCTGCACCTGATCTGTCGACACTACTAGTTTCTGATGTTAAAGTCTGCATCAGCCATGGAAGTAAGTCTTCGAAACTGGATTCTCCCATGCCCCGAACCATGGCTCCAAGGGCTCGAGCTGATACACTGCGAACTTCAGGTACCGGATCTAACAAACTTGTCTTCAAGCCTGGAATGATGGTTGGTAAATATGGCGTTAAATCCTTCTGATCAGTTAAGGAGTACATGTTTCCAATAATTTGTGCGGCCATTTTCCTGGTTTCTGTGGAACGATCCATGAAAGCTCGTTGAACCACTGGCATGATCAGAGCAAGAGATGGTGCGTCTATAAAATGAACAAACTGAGTGTCGAGGAGTGTCTGCAGGCAGGTGGCTGTTTTACGCGATGGATCTTGAAGAGCTTTCAGAAGAACCGGCACAATTGCTTGAATTTCAGGATTTCGAATAACACTACCGATGACCTTCAGGGCCTCCGCCCCTGCCTCTTGAACTTTTGTGTGAGAGTCACTGAGCACTTCGATGAGTTTCGGCACAATGCTAGGAAGACAGCTGCTTAGTTGCTTTGGAGCACAGTATGCCATGGCTCCCAAAAGTTCAACCGATCCTGAAGAAAAGCGAAATTTATACATCATCCCATTGAGGAAATTATAACCTTACATTTTATATAATTTCATAACATTTACCTGTCTTTGTCCTCCATGAATCCTCTTCCAATGCTGCCAGCAAACTAGGTAAGACAAGCTTAACGCCATGAGCCGAGAGTTTACTCATAACAACTCTGGCAGTATCATCGGTAGCAGCTCTGACGTACTGATTAGAGTCACCGAAACATAGAAGTAAATGTGGCAACACATGAACGATGTACGGCTCAAAGAGTCTTCCCAACATCATACAAAGCATCTCAAAAGCAAAGAGTGCTCCTTCGCGATGTCTGTAATTCTTCTTATCCTGAATAGCATTAGTAAGAGTAGTCATTATGTCGAGCTGTTTCAAAGCGAGGATACCCATTCCCTTGATAAGTCCAGCTAGCCCGTAGGCTGCACCTTTACGTTCACCATATTTATCAGACTTCAAAAGTTGGTCCATCAGATTGTCAACGATCCTAGGAGCATCTTCCTTAATAGAGGACACTAGATGTGGTAGACAATTAGCCACAGCTTCCTGCACTTGCTGCGAAGGTGTCGACAGAGCTGCAATCAGTCTCATTACGATAGGTTTGATTCTGGGATCATCTTTATCGAGATGCCTTGCCAAGGATCCCATAAGAATCACCACAGACTGCTTAATGGAATCAAAGCTTCCAATTTTAGGTGCCTTGTCCATGAAATCCTCAAAGACTGGGAGCAAAGAAGTTATGTTCGCCTTTCCGTGAAGATCGACAGCAGCTACAGCAGCTGTCAGCATTTCCGTTCGAACAGCTGGATTCCTATCACCAAGTCCAGTGGACACAAAGAACTGCACTAGTTTGAAAATCGTGTCAGACGTGAGAAGAGGAGCTAGCTGAGCTAACGCCAAAGCTACCCCTCTTCGAGGTCCCCAGGTATCGATGGGTTGCTCTACCACTCTGCCGAAATCATTCAGCTTTGGTGGTATCATAACCAGTTTATCTGTGTAAAGCTGCAACAAGCGATCCAATATCGATGGCATTAACTTAGGGTCCTCCGTTAACAGCTGTGCAAGAGCACACGCAGCAGCCTGCTGTATTGGCTCAACTGGATGAGCAATATCATTTATAAGTTCATCGCAAAGAATCTCTGCATTAGCCACCAGACCTGCAGAGTCCCACAGCTTCTGTGCCATCTCCTTATTCTCTTCACAGACATCGAACTTGGCGATCCAGATCCTACGAGTCAGTCGAAGAAGCTGATCGTAGTCTTCCTTTTCAGATGGGAATGCAGAATGAATGACAGTCAGTCCTCTCAAGGCAGCGTCTCGCACAGCAGGTAAAGAATTCTGCAGAGCTCCGGTTAAGGAATCTATTTCGTCATTGGTGGCCATCGCAGCACCTGCTGCTCCACTACCAGATTCTGCAACATCTAGCAAAGTGGCCACTGCATGAGACTGCACTCTTCCCGCAGTGGTGGTCATCAGCTCTATCAACAAATCAAACATCTGTTTTCTGGGCAAAAGTCGAGGATGTCTCAGATCCCTTGGATCAGAATTATCTGCTCGTTGCTTAGCATGGTCCTGTATAACCTGCAGTCCTTGAGTGATCATACTGTCATCTTTGCAGGTCATTAACGTTTTTTTTATAAACGGGAAGACATAACAGAATGCTGGGGCTGAAAAGAGCTGCTTCTGCTTAACTGTATGCAAATGAATAAGATTCAAGGCTCTCTTCACAGCTTTATCCAAGGGCTCTTCCTCCCATACTGCGTCTACGTCACACTGTGGTTGTAATTGTCGAAGAGTCACATGGGCTACCAAATTACCGAGGATGGTGTCATTGGTGATCTTCACTATCTGTCTGAGAGATACATATAGTTCTGCCATGATGTGAGCAGCTAAAGGAGAGCCTAGACCTTTTAGGATCGGTGGAAGTAGATCCTTCAAGTACAACGATAAATCGGTGCGATTTCCACGCGCAGCCGCGTTCACTAAGGACACTGCATCGACGATTTTGGAATTGAATTCAGTCAATCTTTTTCTGATCGCGTTCTCCTTCGCGGTCTGAGCCTTGAGTGCTTCTTCCTGCTTCGGAGTTAACTTTGGCTCCTTTATCTTGCCTTCTCGTTTTCTCTTCTCGTAAAGTTCCCTGCGCAGTTGGAGTTCTTCTAGTTGTTCTTTAAAAGAGTATGCCTTGCTCTCCCTCTTCATGTTCATGGCATTCAAAATCTCATTTTCATCGCTACTGGATATTACACTTTTATCGTAAAGTTCACCTTCCGGTGTTAAGTAAGTGAAGTATTCGTCCTTAGTAACTTTCAAGATCTCAGGATCGTCCAGCTTGTTAGTAACATTAGACACCAGTGATGGAAGAATTACATCCGGCGCAAGAGATACAACTCTAGCTAAAGCATTTTCATAAGACGGTATCGGCTTATATCCTTGAATTAAAACTCGCCTAACCTCACTTCCGAATTTTCTAAGGAACTCTTTAGGCGTCAGACCAAAATTCTTAACAATCTTTAACCAAAGATTTGGAACCGCCTTTAAAATCACAGGATGGTGCGCTGGGATCAAAGCATCTCTAGTCATCTGCATCGTTGGCAATTCGAAAAGGAAGGAACCAGAACAGATCGCCAACAGACCGTCGGCTAATGATCGACCACAAACTTCATTAGCTGGTGAGTCATCCTTAACTTCCTTTTCAGAGTCTGCTTTAAATTTAGCATTATTAAGAAACTTGTTGAATTCTATCAGGAGAGCTTCGGCTGGTTCATAGGTACTGAGGTCCGATAGAACTTTTTTTATCAGGGGGAAACACCGTCTACGTGTTGCCGATTTCGGGGCGTTAGCACAATACACAATTGCACGATTAACACCATTCATAGCTTTCTCGTTCAGTCGATCTGCAAATTCTGAGATGAGTTTCTCACATAGTTGCATTAAGTGATACAGGGTATCGTCGCCACAGGTGGAAAGGAACTTTTCGGAGAAGAAGATCTGCTCATCAATAGTACTCCATAAGACACTCTGTTTGTCATTCTCTACTCGACCTGCGAGGACTAATTTCAGCAGTAAATATGATGCTACTAATCCTTCAGTGACTGCTGCTGGTTGGATACATTGCTGCGCTGCTCTTGTTATAGCTTGACTCAGAATAGGAGCTACTGTATTAGAGTGCGAGGCTATCGGAGCAGAGAAGAAAAGCTTGATATATGCAGTCCGCACTCCTGCTGTCGAGGTTTTTGCTGCCATCCCTTTCTTGAAAGCCTCAACTACATTCTTTGGTACCTCATTGGCAAACTTTTCACACCAAAGAGCCATCATTTCCAAGGCATGGATCAGGGTCTTTTCATGGACTTCTGTCTCAAGAACTTTGATAAAATGATCGCAAGCCACTTCTGCCAATCTTTGGACACTGCTGCCAAATGCTCCATTGCGACTAAGGTTTCCAGCAGCCTGCAGTACAGAAATTTTATGAGTGGCTACTGTGAGTTTTCCCTCAGAGCCATGAAACACCGCAAACAGGGCTGCTAACAGGTCCTCGATGGCAGAAGTATCCGAACACTGTAGCGCTAGTCGACGACAAGCATCTGCCGACTCATCTCGCACAAGGTCTTCCTTGGAGTGCAGATTAGCGAACAATCCTTTGCTTATTTCTTGACTGTAGCGACTCAAATCAAGCATTAATCCACTGAGAATATGCCCTACTGACTCGATGATTATCTCAGGATTCCTCAGCATTGCTTTCTGTAAGGCTGGCAGCAAATGTGATTTGAAATCATCATGAGAAACTCGACGAAGTAGTGGTACTGCTGCATCAACGACATACAGCTCAGGTTTCTTCTTACAACTGATAGTCACTTTTATGAAAGACTCCAGTATTCCATCCTGTAAATAAAAAATATTAAAGAGTGCAATATAATATTAAATTCACCCAACCATTGTAGAAATAATTATTCTAAAATGAAGAGTCGTGAGTTTAATCATTGACATTTACTTTAAGTTTTTCTACTTGTGCACACTTGTCTGTGGCAACTAAATGTTTTATCAACAGGCTGGTAAGAACAATGACACCATTGCCGGCTTCCATCTTTGTCAGCATATCTGCGTATTTGTCTTCCAGACCCTCTACAACTGTCCATTGGTGCTTTAATAAAGAGTAGACTTTATCACGCAACTTCTTGTTCCCAGATGCTATTGCTGCTGCACTTAGGTTGGCCTGGGCTTCTATCAACTTCGGCAATTCCGATTGAGTCGCCTCTGATCCCTTATTTATCCCATAAAGGATAATCAGAGTTGACCACTTCAATGCAGTATAGGCTGTTGCTGCAGTACTGTAGCTGAAAAAATGAATAAATTTGGAAAAAGGAATCCAAATGAATCCACGCAACAAATATAGCACAACTGCACTCACGTTGGTACTAAATTTTTGTGCCATACTGCTTGCTCCGTTACGGCATTTGTCATATGCTTCACTGTTGCATCTGGTTGATTTTTCAGCAGAGCTATGATCAAGTTCTTAATATATGACTGCGACGCGGTATCCTTGTACCGATGCAAAGTGATCGATACAACTTTGCATATTCCTCCGATGATCTTCTCATTAATACCTAAAATACCATATACTTCTTTTGTGCAAGATAAAAATATTTCTCTCAAATATCATATTAACAGCAAATAATTAAAAAGGCAATATCCACTCTTCAGCAGCACGTTCACAAAGAACATCCATTTTTTTTATTGCATTTCAATATAATTTGACATTACTCCAAAAACGTTTTTAATGTCAAATCAGAAGCGATTTAAATGTTCACAGTATCAAACTGTAAATTAAATTCTAATCACTAATAATATGTTAAATACTGTTACATATGTATTGTTATACCAATGTATAAAATGATATTGCACTGTAGGTGGATTATTTCACGCAATATATCAAAAGTACCATCCTTCGAAGCATTATTGTTAATCCGTACTTAATTTAGAGAAATCAATCCACCGGTTTTATGTTACAATATCAAAATACGAGTACATATGAGAAATAAATTCATTGCTGTCTTACCAGGGTTTGACAACACGTCGATAACATTCTGCAGAATTTCCCGTCGCTCCTTCTTGCTGGCGGTCTGGACACGGTTCGGAAGGTCCTTCAAAGCTTTAGACAGCTGCGAACAGAATTTTAAATGAAACCCGTTATTTCGTCGGCTAAATCATATTTATCAAGATTCCACGTGACAGACTTACCTCAGCATCCGCCATATTTCGTGAAAAACCGGAGAAGTTCGCGCACTGTCGCTCTCATTGGTTTGTGCAAAGAGTAGTAAAGAGCAGAGATAAGTTGGGAGATTGCTCACGGGCAGGGTCGCGCGATCGCATCCTGTGCTGCCCTCTGGTTTCGTACGTTAGCTTTCATAGTTTTTTGCCCCCAAGAGCGGAACAATGAATTTCTGGTAGGGGCTCGCGCAATCGCGATAGCGGTGCCATCTACCAGTCTCCGTTGGCGGCTCACGTACTCGTGATGGTGATACCATGCGGCAGTTGACGGTGATGGCTTACCTACGCTTACCGACAGTGCTCTTTGACTTTACCCTTCATTTACCTTATTTATTTTATTCACAAATGATACAGGCAAAACAACCACGTGGGTGCACGAGAGTTGAGTTATATACTTTATATACATTTTTTATAAGCTACGGAAATGAATAAAAAAATAATTAATGTTTCCTAGGGAACACATTGTTCTAGACATTTTTAATTTCCGAGCTCATTCTCAAAATGATGATTATAATTAAAATTTTTGCAATGAATAAGATAACGGTAGCAACATGGGCAACTAAATAATAATATTAACGATAAGAATGATTGATACTGTTATCTTACGGTACGATTTTAATTAATTTCACATTAATCATTAAAATCACCTTAGGGACAGTGAAACGGATAATGAAAAGCTGAACCCATAATCAAATATTACATAACTGCAATGTATTTTGTGCGATTGCTATGAACTGTAAAACGTGAGGAAAGAAATTTGCGTGAAAAACCGTACCCACCCTTCGCTTCCTTCAGAATTTGAACTTGCGACACGTACGTTACACCTGATATCATACCGACTACGTCAAGCTATGTTTTTGGGTATCTCCTTCCATCTAGGTTTTATGTGTTCCCTAGGAAACATTAATTATTTTTTTATTAATTTCCGTAGCTTATAAAAATTGTATATAAAGTATAACTCAACTCTCGAGCACCCGTGTTGTAGTTTTGCCTGTATCATTTGCGGATAAAATAAATAAGGTAAGTGCAGGGTAAAGTCAAAGTGGCCGCCACGAATGTTCTTCCCTTACCATCAAAAGCGAGCAGTGTCGATAAGCGTAGGTAAGCCACCACCGTCAACTGCCCCATGGTATTACCGTCACGGGTACGTGAGCCGCCAACAATGACTGGTAGATGGCACCGCCATCGCGAGTGCGCGAGCCCCTACCAGAAATTCGTTGCGCTGCCCTTGGAGGCAAAAAACGGTGAAAGCTAACGTACGAAATCAGAGGGCAGCACAGACTGCGATTCCGACCCTGCCCGTGAGCAATCTCCCAACTCATCTCTGGTAAAGAACAAAGATGAGTAGCAGAGATGAGTTGGAAAATTGCTCACGGGCAGGGTCGTACATCGAATTCTGTGCTGCCCTCGGTGGAGAATCCTGGCGGCTTACGCACTTACCCTTAATGGCGACCCAACTCAGGAATTCAACTCATTTCTGCGATTAGTATATTGTATGTAGTGTAATCGAGAAAATACAATTACATTTTAACATATAGAGTATAAAATTAGTGTTTAATCCGATATTTTAACTTACATGATACTGGTACAACGGAAAAACAGGTATCTAGACGAATGGAAAGCTTATTTCCGTTAGATCCTAAGGATCGCGTAAAAAGAAGGCGCATGCCTATTGGTTGTCACAGCACGTAAAATGCAACGCTCGCCCTCTGAGAAACAAGCTCGGGATTCTCCACTTCCTGTTGAATTCGCAACGACTTGAAGTTATTGGAGAATCGATAAAGAAATGCGGAATGGAAGCCACTCACAAACAGCTTATTTATCTTCATAATAATCAATCACCGCAAACTTTTGCGACGTCCAGAAGATATTTCTGGGGAAACAAGTAAGTTCTCGGGGGGAGTTTAATTTTACGATTAATTTTCTTTACCCTTTGCGCAAGTGTGATATCATGCTCCCATATTCGTTATCACGGACGTAGATCGTGTGTACACGAAGGTAACCTCTACATCAGTTTTAATTCCAATTTCTATAAAAATGTAACTCCTAAGGTTTGATTACTTTTCTGGGCTTTCTCACACTTTGGTTTGTAGTCAACAAATTTTATTGTTCAATGCAAAATAGCAATTTCATTTAGTATATCAAATTTAATGCGACTCAAACTTCACAGAGAATGACATCGAAGGTATTAAAGAATGGTTTTGAATTATTTTCATTCTTAAGGTTTGTTTATGAAGAATTTGCAGTAATTCCTCTATGATTTTAGTTACAGATGATCAATGTTGGAAGGATGGTATTGCCGGTCCATCGCAAACAACAATGCAGATGCAGAGGAGGATGATGAAGAAAGCCCTGAAGAAGAGGCACCAAACTATAAAGAACAGTACCGCAATCTCAAACGGAAACTTAAATTTCTCATTTATGTATGCACGATTAAAATTTAAATGTAACATCGCCATTTAATCATTTTAAGCAAATTATTACTTATAACTTTAGGAAAATGAGTGTTTTCAAGAAGCATTGCGGTCGACACAAAGGAAACTCCTTAAAGTAAATAGAGACAAAAGCTTTTTACTTGATCGATTACTGCAATATGAGAAGGTCGATGCTTCGTTTAGTGAAAGCGATGAAACTGAATCATCTGATGATGAAATGTCACGAATAGAGACCACTAAGAGGTAATTTTTTTTTCAGTGTGCATTTGCAGTTAATGTATATTTCTGCATATGTACTATGAAATTTTTTAGACGGAAGGTGGAAATGAGTGTTAATAACCATTCCTCCCACCATTCAACAACAATGATGAAGCCTCTTGGCATGAACAAGAAGAAAAGATCAACACCGAAAGTGCCAAAAGCGCAAAGTGCTCCATCGGTAAATAAGATTCTACTCAAGGATAAATTTCTCATTCATAACATGTTATTTATTTTATCGCTTGTTCTTTTCGTAACAGGTGCAATCTTCTAATAGTGTGATGCCAATGTCCCTGATGTCGGATGGACACATGACTCCTGAAGAGGTGGAGAGACATTTAGAGTCTCGCCAGACGTACCTGGAATTGGTGCCTGAAAAAGCACCACCCACAGTCCCAACTGAAATGTTCAGTAATGACCCATCGTTAGATAGGTAATTGCAACAATGTGAAAATTAGTAAGAGGTAAAACTAATGACACTGCTAATAATCAATAGGTTAACACTAACGGAAATCTCTGCCTTTTTAGTGAATCCAATGAAGTTGGAGAACTGGAGACCTCGCCAAGTAACATGGGCGAGGACTGCCTCAGTGTTGACATGATGGCGGAGTGACTAATGTTCGTTTATAGTTTACTACTTAGACATAAGTTGTACACGATCCTCCATTTCGTTAACACAGCTTAGCACGCTTAATTTAACTGTATCCATAATATCATAATACAAATTTTTATATACGTGTATATAAAGCATACGGCAGTCACTTTTCCCTCCGTCCAGTGCTGTGTCATCCCAAGTTGGCAATGACATTCAACCTGAATCCTGAACTTATCTGACTACATCTACTTAAGTTTTGTTTCTGAAAACATGGTGGTAATATAAACTCGTCGAAATGATCACCTTATGAAGCTGAATACAGCGTTTTGAACTATCATTATCTAGAATGAAATGATTTGTCGTGAAAACGTCAATTCCGACGGTATCCCTTGACAATTCTCGTAATTATTAAAATATATGTCAACGAGTCGGACAATGTATCCAACTACGACTGTGACATTCGACGAGACTCAAAATTTCATAAACTCGATAACATGATCAGTGAGTCCGATTCCACTGTCAGTACTTTGGAGAGAATCGTAAACAAGGTCGTCCTAGATTTGGAACTCGAGAACAAGTCATCGAGGCCAAGCTCGAAACGCAAAAGCACCGAAATTCCAACACCGACACGTACGTGCAAGGTCACAAGACTCAGCAGTAATTCCGACCCCGAAGAACCACGTTGTCGCATTTGTTACGACTCCGGTCAACGTTATCCGATCATATATCCATGCAGATGTAAGGTCAGCAATTTTTAACCTCTAATATCTGCAGTACCGTACTTCGAGAACATAAATGACTCAAGTTTTTCACTCTCCACTTCTATCACCACTGAATATCATTTTCTTTATTTTCTTCCCAATATAACAACATTCAATAAAATTAAGGTGTACGATTAATAAATTTACACTAGCATGGAGGTCACCAGTACAATTTCACCTTGTACACAAGACATCCATTAGCAACCTCCTCCGGACCGATCTCTTAAAAGAATCAAAAACGATTTCCCAATTGATCGACAAGAAAAAGTTCATAAAGTTCCTTAAGGAGATATTTTGTACAAATAAAAAAAAATGAGGTTGGGGGGAAAACGAGGGACCAGTGTTCGGTTCATCCTGTCCTTATCATCGGTGTCTTTTTTCCAGGGAACGATGGGAGCCATTCATCTGAAGTGCCTGGAACGCTGGCTCGAGGAGAGCAACAGGAACAGCTGCGAGCTTTGTGGACACCTCTTCCAAGTGCAACGCACCCCACGTTATCACGCACTGCAATCCATCATGATATGGTTTTGTCTGAGCCAGCGGGAGCACCAACTCTTCGTGCGCAGCGTACGCATAGATCTGCTCAGGTGCATCATCGTCACGCCGGTGACCATGGGTTGCTCCTACATATGCGTCGTCGCAGCTGATTTTTACTCCATGAACAATTACGACAATTTCCCGCCTGCAAGGTGGACCACTTACTCCCTACTGGCGATGATGACTCTCCTCATATTCTCTTACTTTGTCTGGATGTACATGGCCATCCAGTATCACGAGAGGGTTTGGTTTTACTGGTGGCAGAAGACGAGCATGGTCAAAGTCACGCTGCCGGTGAACGCCACCGAGGTAGCACGTCGTCCTACCGAAGTGTGTGTACATCGGTGACCAAGCTTGAAGTGCCCAACGAGATATGCCATGTGTCAGTAATGGATCGATGACAGACTCTTACGATGCTCTTCGCTTTATAGAGATCTTTCCGCGACTCAGCTGCGACGTGTATATTCGGACCTTGCTCCCATCCGAGACTTTCTTCACCCAGATCTGCGAACGAAAGATCGAGGTTTGGATTAAATTAATATAATCCAAGGCAGGAGAGGTGTGTAATACACCGTGTTGAATACAGACATTTGTAAGACCAATATTTGCAGATTACAAATCTTACTTACAGCTTCGGTCCCAATGGCTGATATATTTGCAGCAAATCTGGACAAGTCTTTCCCTTCGACGTAGACGGACTGACCACGATGAAACCTGTAACACATTTGTCTTGTTTAATTCACTTTGTTTCTATTGCTTGATGTTCGTATAATTTGAGTAATGGATATTTTAGCCTTTACGTACCATCTCCTTTCGTAGAGAAGTTTACCATCTTCGATTTTTGTCTCGACAGTAGGAACGTCCACTGGAGGAGTTATATGCTGACTCGGGAGGTTTACTGTATTGTAATGCGGTATCACCACTACAATCGAAAAGCTATTATTATCGTACATAACTGGTCATTGCTTTCAAGAAATACCTGGTTTTCGAACGGCTGTGAGTACTTTACCACGACTGATCGCCTTCAAGTCGCTTTCGATTTCCTTCTCGTCCAAAAGGTAATTCAATTGAGCTGGCGGTGGTTTCCTGCGCTTTTCCACTTTTTCTGGTACAGGATCATTGGGCCGCCGGCGTAATTTTCTCGTCATTACGGGTTTTACCTAATAATGATATTGTATCGGTTAATACAAAAAAAAATCATTCGAGAAATCATGTATTTTCAACATACCTCCATTGAGTCTCCAGTCAATTCCATTGTATGACGATCCGATTCGATCATCTTGCGCTTTTCCTCCATGTCGGTTAATAGATTCTCCTTCAGGTCTATTTTCTTCTCTTCAAACTCCTTAACTGCTGCCTTTTTCTCTAATATGTAATCCCTTTCTACCCATTCTGTGAGATAGTCACGATATATTATATTTAACCTCAACCTACAAATACATTATAAAATCATAACTGACAAGGCACTAATAATTATTTATTTTTACCAATCCTCTTTCAGAAATCCCATTTTGTTCACTTTTCAATTAAATTTAATGAATTAATCGTTACATACCTTTCTTTGTATTGAGCTTCTAAACGTTTCAACTTGCGATTGTATTCTGGATGAGTGCCATCTTTTAATTGCTGTAGTTGCTTCTTCAAACTTGCAAGTTTGTCTTGATACACCCTTAAAGAATGTTATGACAGTCAAATAATTCTGTTAGCATATAATGAATAAGTAGTACTTAAAATAGCGTCAATTAAAAATTAAAACTCACTGCTCTTTTATCTCTGTATACTCCTCAGACTTTCCCATATCAGTCTCGCTAGCTTCTTCGGTATCTGTAAAAACATATGTACGTGAGAAGAATATTTGTTTATTAAATATTTATGCCATTTCAGTCAATGAAGTATAATACCCAGCCTAAAATTGTTTAGGAAAATGACCGAAGCTATTACAATTATGTCTTGGAGTATACCTCAAAGACGGTGTTGTACAAAACAAAATTACATGTAGAAATACCTTCGTCACTTTCATCCTGGTCCTCTGCATCGCGATCCTCGTCCATATATTCATCATTATCCTCGTCGATTTCGTAATCGTCCTGACCGTAAACAGCGGAGAACGGAGAGTCTTGATACGACATGATGAACTATCGCACTTAACTTCCCCAATTATTTAAAATATACAGTCTATAATTCATTTTACCGATCGGTCGTCACATCGCTCCTCACAGATAAATCGTAAAATCAACGGAGAACCTACATTGTCTACAGACTACTCTGTCAAAAGTAAGGTTAAACACAACAAGACCGCAAATACTTTCGCTACCAGCCTTAAACAATCTTCTATAGATATCCCTCAGGTGAATCATTTCACTTTAGTAACGTCGTCATCGTTGGTATTGCGAAACGAATTTCTATTGGTCGCAGGCTAGTGGGATTTTTGTAATCGACCAATCAGAATTCTTCTTGCGAAGGCATCTCAAGTGTCCGTTACATCCAATGGGAGCGCTGGTATTCAAAATGGCGCCACTTTTGCAAGAACTGATATACGTCATTTGTAAATAAATCATATTCCCAAATAACGAAAAGTGTTAATGCTTCATCGGGCTTCATTGATTCACGATAGGTGAGATATGCTATTGAGGCTAGTAAAATTAAATTTTGTATGCTTTTAGCCGCGTTTGTTTTTATTTAAATAACTTTTGTTTTTCATTACTTTCCTGAAGTTCTTGACTAACCCAATTTACTATAAAAGTACATGCGTAATCGATAAAAAACGAGAAATTCTACGAAAGAATGATGTGTTACTACAAATCTGAAGTTTTTCTTTCTTTATGCAGATTTAATAACATTTGGTTAACAACTAAGTGAGTGTCTATGATTATATGATACATAATGTACAAAAGAACATCCCATCACTGATACACGTAATCATTCATCTCTTATACATAACATTCACAATAGTTTTGTACGAAGCACAGCTACACATCGTTCTTTAAGAAGAAATTGAACCAATTAACCTGACGTAGATTACGTATTTATAGATTCATTTGCAACAAGTTTCTCAAATCGAAATTCAGATTCAGTCTATCATTGTTTTATAATTAGTCGTTAGTGGTTTGTACTGCACTCTGCGCAAGTTCCAGGTGAACGATATGCAGATGTCCCTCGCCAGATGTATTCTAGGTAGTAATTGAACTGTAATAAAGGATTTGTACATTATAATATGAAATTTTGTAATAAAAACCTCATATTGCATAACATTATCGATTTAACGTACGTATAATTGTATTTGTGAGCAACCATCTATCTCTCTTTCTCTCTCTTATGCGTAACAAGCAACTTTACAAATAGGCTCGTTGCCTAATCGACGATGGCGTAGTTACGCAATTATACGCCAAAATAATTATAAACAACACAAAGTCAAATGTATTATAATTACAGTAATATATAAAGGCGTCTCGTTGGTAACATTACGCAGCTTACCTAGGCATGGACAATCGTAATTCCTATATCAGAATATAGGTTCTATTTATAAAAATCTCTGTTCAACGGATTTCAGATTAGGTTTTCGCATTCATTAAAGCTGATTCTATCGGTAAGACTGCAAAACCGGGTTGTAATTAATTCAGAAGTATATTAATAGGTTCCGATCTCTCATGGCACGCTACACTACGGGCCACTTTCTTTTGCACTACAAAATGTGCCATTTGGATGTTTTAGCATATTTAATCAGTCTATAGTGACTAAATTTAAAAAAAGATGTTAATATTCTGCATACTCGAAGAGCCTAATTTTCAATATTTATTGTATAGATCGACCAATTGCAGATCTGCAGTAATTTGGGCTCAAAAAAGGAAACCATCAGTTGTCATTCTCATGCAAGGCTTCAAGCGAACTTATGTGAAGGTACACTTTGTATATACCGCGTTTAATCTGTTTGGCATTGTTACAATTATACTTTTATACAATTTCCCCTTTCCCTCGTAGTTGTAAAAATGTAGTCCCACACTTACAATCCTACAACTTCGAGGGCTCGATTACTACCCCCCTTCTCAGTGGTTGTTAAACTTTACAAAAATATTTTCGAACTTTCAAGAGTCATTTAAAATTGGTTCGGTAAGGTTTTACATAAATATATGTTCCAATCGCCATTGAAAGGATAATCAGAGGCGGTGGATACATATTTCTTTCCCTCCTGCCAGAACGAAGTGTGGACAAGCGTTAGCCGAGAGAAGTGCAAAGCATCGTGCAAGTTCACAATTTCGATTGAAGAATTAACAAGTAGACGTTAGAGATAGCTTAATCTAGTCAATCTCTTTTTGCATTGGATTGTTCTACGATCGCTCATGTTATGGCACTACCGTGGAAAGATAAAATTGCACTTGAAATGTCTTCTCTTCCTCCTCGCAACGCACATCCATGCACACGTATCCACCCTGTCTAGAACTTTCTACCCACACGTGCCTCTGTCGAACTTGACAACCCGTCCCGTTAAATGTTAATAAAGTCTGCCCTCGATGTATCAGCACTTCGCGACTTAAATTACGGTAACTGTCCTCCTTGTTCGTCTCTTAGAGTCAGTGCGACTTTCTGCCAAATGTCGACCGACATTGAGGTTAAGTTCGGTCACTGCGTGGACCTCTGTCGCTCCGAGCGATTTACTGCAGCGAGCGCCTCGTCCGGCAAACGACCAGGATCCGACAAAATGTCAGTAGCGGTGCACAGATACCTCAAAGAATTGAGAACAGCTGAAATGAGAAAGAAATTCCCTCATAATGGACTATTGAAAAAATTGTATTCGACAATGAAAATCCAACGAGAACCAACCTGGCCTGAGATCAACGAGAGAACAGTGTTGTTCCACCCACAGTACTGTACTTCTGTACAAGTCCTCCACACTTGCCGTGGACACCGAGGTATTGAAAGTTATCATCAAGGGCTCCAGCAATATGCTGAACTACAAGAGTGGTTTAGGAAATGACAGGTAACCTATTTTTATGAAACACTTAGAAGAGGTCTCCGATACTAAAATCAGTATTTTTGACAGTTTCAAGGATACAATCCAGAATTTCCAATTCTCCCTCGTCCGCGTTCGCACGTACTCGTCGAACATCTCCTTCATTTTGGTGGTCCTCTGTCTGGAGACAGGGGCTCCGGTAGCTGGAAGCATCGACTGGCAATTGCTGAAAGATGTTAGTCCTACGGTCAGTCGTTCACCAATTTTATTCACATTGGATCGGAAGGTTCCCTACCTGATAGAAGTATTAAGGCATTCGATCTGATGCCTCAGACTGTCCATCTCCTCCTTCAGCTGGTTCCTCTCAGCCCTTAGCTGCCTGATATAGTCGGCGCCCTTTTGCAGCATCACGGCTTTGCTCAGTTTCGTGTTGGGATTCTGGTTGAGCTGCGGTATGAGGCTGTGCAGCATATCGAATCCGTTCTTGATATTGTACCTTCGTTTCTGCTCGGCATGAATGTGGCCGACTCGTCTTTGCTCCTTGCACTGTCCCCGCTCGGGTTCGCTTTTGCCTAAACCACGAGACGGGGACAAAGGACTCCCCAGACTCATGGGGCTGTGCAAAGGACTCAAACTGAGACCCTGAGGACTGTGGGCTGCGGAACCGTCCTTAGGAGACCCAGGACTACCCTGAGGCTGGTGTGCTTGGCTGTTGGCATTCAGGAGAACCGACTGTCCGCTGGATACTTGTTGCAGGGCCTGTAGCAAATAATTTTCCTCTCTTTCAGAAATCCTACCTTGTCTAATTTTGACCTTCAGAATCTATTCCCAACCCGCTACAATAACGAGTACACCAATCCCTTAATTTCTAAAAGCAAGACCTCGTCACGCTATACCTGTTGCTGTTGCTGGGTTTGTACAGGTGTCGTCTGAATGGGTTGCACAGCAACAGGCGTAGTAATGTGGCGAGTAGTGTTGGTAATTTGTGCGGAAGACGGTGTTGGGGGTAGCATCGGCAAGATGTGTTTCACTCCACTGCTGAGGTTTGCCGTTGATATCACTTTTTCAGGACCCCCACTCACCGTGTACAGGTTGGACGTGTCTGCCAAGAAAAGAGCTAGCTGATGATGATTCTCTCAAATGTGATGATGAACAATTGTTTCAGATAATCAAGGGAACGTACTATTGGTGAGTAGCTGGGCGAAGAGGACGTTGCTGTTCAAGTTCAAGGCCGGATCGCTTACTGCTGACACCAACGGAGGTGGGTGCATCTTTGGAGCAGCCAACGACGAACTGCTACGCGACCGACTCCTTGCTTTCATTTGATACTGTCGAAGTAACGATTACAAAGGGGATATTAAATACGAGTCCAGGTAATTTTCTTAGATCGGTAGAATTACGAAAAATGTTCAACCTTAGGTACAGCGAAGACCTCCTCTTTGTCCGCAGTAGGAGCAGCAGGTCGAGGTAGTAATTTCGTGGGATGCTGGGCCGGTGCGGAGAGATCAAAACCTTGCGGTCTGCACTGGAAGAGAATATGCGACTGCGGTTGGTCTGCAGAGACCACTGGATGCGCCGGTAAGCTCTGAAAGAGTAGATCGGAGTAAGGAAGCCACTCGACGATTAAGATTCAAAGTTCACGATAGCGCAGAATCGACTCGATGAGTCGTAAATTATATCTTTTCTAATTGAGCCGTAGAGAAACGCTTAACGTGCATTTCTTTAAATTAAACTAAACACCTCGCTTCTACTTCCAGTCCTTCGACCAAACCCCAAGAACCAAAATGACCGCTACCGAGAATGTCTCATCAAGAAGCCAAGGAGAACTCATCCAAACATCGAATAGTTATAAGAATAATTTCCCATGAATTGACGTCGTCGTTCGTGCTCGTAGAGTTTTAAGAATGGAGGGTATCATAATTTCTTCCCGCAGACAAATGCGATCAGATCCTCCGATACTTTTCATCGTGGTACACGGATTATTCGTAAATATCTGTAAATTACTTTAAAATCGTTGGAGTTGAACTTGTACTGCTGAGGGGCGAAGGGTTGAGGCGGCGTGGGGAACTTGTAGCCCTGTTGCTGAGGCTGCACGATCTTGTACGGCTTGGCCATGGGAGAACTCACAGGCAGGGGTCTGATCGCCCTCTGTTGCTGCTGCTGGACCGACGTCGACTGTACATAATTCTGCACAGCAGTTGTCAGACGTTCCACGTGATTGGATGCGGCTGCGATTTGTCTGACTCTGTTCTGACCATTCAGAGTGTTAATTTGAGGCCGACTGTCCGGCTGAGTCAGCTGGACAGTTTGGATGTCCATGGAATAGGACTGCGCCGTTCGCTGTTCGGCTGCTTCCTGATAGTTCAAGCTTTGATGCTGAGCTGGTTGCTGGTACCCAGGTGGTTGCTGCTGCTGTGGCTGCTGGATCACGCGACTCGACCTCGTGGACGATCTGCTCTGCCGACTTTTCTCCCTGACCAATGGAGTGGAAGACGCCGTGTCGTATCTTTGGACGGCGTTGAAACCTTCGCCGATGTTCCTGCGGTGAGCATGACACATTTCTTTACTTCCTCGTGGATTGACGTTTATTAAATTACAGCGAGGACAAGGCTGATGTACTCACACACTGTTCCTGAATACCCCGGTGGCCTGTGATTCCGGTTGGGTGTAGATTTTTGCGGTGTACTGAAGGTTCTGCAAGCTCCCATCCTGCTCATCCGTAGTCAGCTGTTGCTGCTGGGGAGCCTGTTGCTGAATCGCCACAGGGGGCTCCTCGTTAATTTGATTCACTTGATGAATCGGTGTCATCAAGTCCAGTTCCGGGTAATTGCTGTTCAGGGTGCTACTGCGAAACATGTCATCCTCTTCAGGTACGGGAGGTAGTTTCGAGTTCAAAAATTCTGAAAGTGCATTTCGTAGTAGAGAACAACACCGCCCTATTATCCTTCACATTATATAGTATGGTCGCAAGCAATTAAAAAAAAAAAAATAATAATAATAATAAAAGTCAATCTCTGGATACTCTCGATCGAAATTCGGCTGACTTTGCCTCCATGCCTTTTCCATAATTATTCAGCCAAGCTTTCCTGTCTTTCGCTCCCATTTACCGACATGAACAATTAATTTCAGCCTCTTAGCGGCGCACGGGGAGCATGATTTGTCGACGTATCATCGTCCTCCCAAACAATCTGGGTCGAGATATATTTGCTCACGACCGAACGAAATAATAAACGTCGCGAGGCAATGCTACCAGGCTAGAGCGATTTCTTTCATCCACGAGTGACTTTTGGCTACGATCGATATGCATGCTCGAAAGGACAGATCCGCCATCAAGAGATGCGTTTTGGCTGGTTGGTGCGTACCTTGCAGGGGCTCGAGGGTGTCCATAAAATCGTCCAGATTCGGCTGAAGTGGCCCTAAGCTTGGTTGAATAAAATCCGCCAAGCTGGCTCCACGGGCTAAAAGTATCGCATTGATTCTCGTATACCGATCAGGAAAGCTTTAGAGGCGAACGTTAGTGCGCCTCGCTACCCGCAGGTATCTATGATATTATAAGAGAAACAACCAAAGCTAACCGATTTCTCTAGGGTCGGGAAAATAGATCGGTTGGTTGGAACTAATCGTGGAGAAGAGTGTATCGGTCATAAGCTCCATGTAATCCTCATCGACCATCATACTGTGGACATTGTCTCCGCCTGTTGGTCCGTTGTTTCCTCCGAATGCACTTCCCGTGCCGGTACCAAAGCCTCCGGAAGTTCCCATGCCATTGTCCCAGTCTAGCATGTCCATCGACTCCAGCTAAACACAGAATTAGATCAAGACGACTAGCAAAAGCATCGACTTCGGTCTACAGTTCCGATCGCGTCTACGGTTTCTTTGGCTAAGTTAAAGCTACTTAATAATTCATTCATTCACGATAATCGTTGGGAATCAGGTCGCGCGATCATTATCAGAGCGTTACCATATCCGAGCCATCCTTGTTCGTCCAGCCAAGGATTTGGTTCCTGTAGAACATTCGCCATTTCTTGTACTCCGCGGTTACTGCTGCAAGTTTCCGTTTCCAGTATTTGCCTTCCAAGACCACCGCCTGATAAGAGAGGCAATGTTAGCTTCCCGTAAGGGATCTGCAGGGGTATCTTTCGACAAAAAGGGAGAAAAAGAGGAACACGCTGCCTCAGGTATTGGCACCGATATGAAATCTCACTTATCGCTAAGAAAATATTCCTTACGGTTGTACCGAGGCTCGACGGAAAAATATTATCTAATCGAGCAGGTCGCAGTCTTTAGTCTAGACGTTACCGAGAATTAAAAGTATAAAAAAATGTATTAACTACACTCTCAATTATTCTCCGGATTCCGGAGCTCCTGAATTGTTTTCTCCTGGTCCTTATCGGGGAGAAAAATTTTAAGTAACGAAAAGTAAAAAATTCGACTGACCTCTGGCTTGTTGTGGGTGTCCACGTCAAGTGGCGATGCGAATTGGCAGACCAAAGTGTTTTGCTTCAAGATGACTGAAACACGTTAAAAACTCGATTGAAGATGCATCGTACGTTTTAATTATTTCAATATAAATATATAAATGTGTATATATAGGACTCTAAACTATTAATTCCGTGTGAATGTCAACTACTATCATCTAGTTATCGAGATTCAGCCTTGTCGAAATTATCATCACTGACACGCGAATAAGGTCGACAAGGTTCACTAGAACCTCAAATCATTGACCTAATCAAATGTGTCTCCATGCTCGACTTAAGTTCTGCCTTTTCGACAAGATACGTCCCGCGAGATAGCGCTCTCCGATAATTTGTCTTAATTAATTCCCCGATAATGGCGAATTATTGCCGGCAATTTCTTACCTTTACTCTCCTAGCTCCCGTCCGACCGCACTCCTCCGTTTCCTAGCTCTAAATAATTATTCTGCCTGCACGGGAACGTCCCGATCCCGACCTTTCGTCGTCGCATCTTGTAATGCAATCGGGAAATTTTTAACGATTAATTCCCACAGACGTGCCGCGAATTATTCCGAAAAGATTTAACTCGATCCTCCTCCGAGCCGCGGTACGCGATTTTCTATCTTAATTACCCTCTTTCAGGTCGGCAAGAATAATTGAAATAAAAAAGATAGAAACTCCACGACCGCGCGAATTCAATGATGGGTTCCAAAATGACGTCCCTTTTTCTTTCAGACTGAGAAAAAGAAGGCCAAAGGGAAATTTCTTCAGAGCTCGACAGGTTGACGAACGTCGCAACGAGAATCGCAAAGGAGACTGAGGTATTTCCTGAAGTCACCTACCGGACAGTTTACACAAATCCGAGAAGAGGTTCGCGAAGGTGGGGAGGATAAGAGTCATGTGTCCGTCACATGCGTGTCGTTTTCTTATTTGTCATCCTCGTTATTGTCCTGGCTTAGTTTTATAATGTTTGCAGAGTTAGCGAGTGGAAGCGTGGAGAGGAGAGCTCTCGCGAATTTTACCACCAAGAGAGGACGATCCGCCTTTGGCGGCACACCCTGAACTCGATTCGCACGTGGAGAAACATGAGATGCTGATTTGGCAGCACGTGATTCCATTCCAGGTGCGAAACTCCCGCATTAGAGCGAGCACTTACACTGCATGTGCCAGCATCGCCAGATAACGTTGTTCAGTCTGATCTTGTCCTTCCATCTCAGCCTGATTCCCTTGAAACGGTTCCATTTGGGCGACGTCAGCTTCTGTCTGGAACAAATCCACATGCCCATATGTCATATCGGCTGTATTGATTATAAATGAATAACCAATAATTTTTAATTTATTTAGAATAGCAGTCAGTGCCCACGGTCCTGATACACACCCTGGTCGAGGATGGGGAAACTCCTGGCTCGACCTCGCTCGATAACGAGTCTCAAGACGCCGATTGGTGGTAATTAATCACCTGATGACCTTATTAACTAATGAAATAATTGATAACAAAAAAAAAGCCTGGCAAGTTCATAAGTGAGATATGAGGTTCCGGAGGTCACTCGACCGCTTCCCGTGTCATCGCCACACGCCTCGCCTTCATTTACGACGGAAAAGCTCCGAGGGTGAAGTCAAGAGATTTTTACTCTCGACGGATCCACTCTTTTATCGCCGAACGTCGGAGGAGCACTGGAAGATTTCCAGAGACTAGCCTGCGAGCGGGCTCTAAGCGGGAATTCTTCGTGGCATTAGACCCTGACCCACGTTCGAGAATGCCGGGTCAAGACGATTTTTCTATCTTCCGATTAGATAAGAAAAACCGGATAAATCGGAGAGGAGAGCTGGAGCCGGCTGGAGACCCGGCTTGCTTCACCTGCTCCGATGTCCTCCGAGGGATCATCGGATAACAGGGATACACGATTGTACGCATAATCTCGACGCCGATTCCTCGTCCTGGGGATTATTGCGCGAAGAACGAGTCTTAAGTCGACTTGCACCTTTACAAGATCACAGGTGACTAGTTATTTCTTGGGGAGAAATAAAACATCCTGGAGACCGGGAAGCTTTTCTCGGACGACCGTGACGTTGGTGAAATCACATGGCCGTCAGAAGATAGGACGTCGGTACGTCGAGGGATCATCAACGAGCCCCGCTTTCGATTACGAAATCGTCTACGCATAGTCGGTGACCAGACACCGATTACGTAATAACCTCGAAAGAACACGAGTGTGCGTGTACGTTCAATAGCGACCCCAAATTTCGCCTTTTTTCCGCGTGTTTAAAAACGCCGGATTTTTGGGGGGTTCCTATTTTCATCATTTCCATTTGTTCACATCTTGAAATCGCGCACGAAATAATCGAATCACAATTTCAGCACGAGTACAATGATTGGAAGGTAAATGTGGAAGAAGAAGGTTCATCCTTGCTTCGGGCGGAGTGAAACTTTTCGCTTCGAAAATTCTAATCCACCGCTAGTTGGATTTATGTATAGAGTACTATTTTAACCTCGAGTCTTTATTGCGAATCTACGTAAATGTATCGCAAATTAATGCGGTGGGAATAATTCCTCGGATTAAAATCGCAAATCTTTTTTATTCGCGATCATTTGAAAAATTTCTTGGACGATAAAATGCGCGGGATTCGGAGCCGGGTTCTCGTGGTTCCAGATAAAATAATCATGCGACTCGTAAGCTCGCGTGATCGAAAGCAAATGAGAAAATAATAAAAAATGGAAATAAATATAAGTAAATTGGGCTGAACCAGGTCGCACTCTCGATTTCTTAACTTTTACGGAGACGCACGGCGGGTGCGATTTCATCGTTTTCTTTTTCCCCGATTCATTCGCCATCGGGGAATCAGGCCGAGCGAGGCCTCGGCTAAAAATAGTTCAATATTTATCGACTATTGTCCGAGATCCGTGACCCGAGATATCGATCCAAAGTAGTAGATCACTCTCCCGGCGTCTATGCTTCAAAGAGTTCGCCACGTTGTTGCGTCGGAAGGAAATTGGTGGATTTTAGCAATAAAGACCGACTGCCACTTGATTATCGAAGGCTCCAATCGTACCGCCGCTCGCTCCAGGAAAAATTCACCATTTCCATAATTTTCTTCCTTATCACAATCCGTCCCTATCAAACGGAATTATCGAAATTTCAGGTTTCCCAGAAATACTGTAGGAAGCCTTTCCAGGCGGCGTCGAATTTTCACGGATAACAATCTGATAACGAGTTATTTGTTCGACCGTCTCTGGAGATAGCCGAGCGGCTCTTATCAACGGTTGAGCCCCTCAACATCGACTCATCGGGAAATGAAATCATCCGTGAGCTCTTTTAAGAGATATTTCCCAGCTTCGGAGCGACTAACAGAGCGGGAAATGCAACTCGCCCGACCGGTCGAATTGTTGCGCAGCGCCGACAATTATCATATTTACAGCGGGTGTAACGATTAAGCTAATTACTAAAATTTCGAGCTTCGGATTCCTCGGTTACACGGCCAAACGTTGTCCGGTTACGGGTCAAGTGGATGTAATTCAGCCCTGTAATTGGACCAGGCGCAGAATGGGAATTCGAGTCACGAAATAATTGTCGAAAGTACTGATAAAGCCATAAACAGCGACTCTGGACATTTCTGTAAACATTATCGTCCACTCGACAGCAAGAGCAAAGAGATTTAATTATGCGCGACCTCAGTCGGCGACCAATCGGATGACGTAGCGAGCTCATAAGGACTTGCGTCACGAGACAAAACTACAATACATTGTCACGTTTTCTATTTTTCTTTTTTTTTTTCCATTAACTTTCTATATATCAAGCAAGCGGTGACTTACAACTGGACTCATAAAATCCGTGTAAAGTTCACCCATGTTGTCTAAGATCTTAAAAGATATATATAGAAAAAAAAAGAGAGTAACTGTCAAAACCAGTCACGTGCACCGAAACGTCAGTAGCTAATTTCAGAACGCCAAGCAGGGTCTCTCAACCGAGTCTCCTCCACGTGTCCCGATAACAGTTATCACGAGTTTCGTCAGACTTAATCCTGGACCTCCAGAACGGGTCTTTTTGCCGGGAACATGTTTTTACCACGACGTCCAATCTACGTCGATCCGTTAAATATCTGTCCCTGGTTTCGAAACCAGCTGGCTATTTCTCTCACCAACTCCGCAGGTGAGCATCACCAGGAGCTCTGAGAACCCCTAAAGTCGCCTCTTTTGCGAAATCATCTCGGTAAATTGCTTAACTGCCGGCAGATTAGGATAAACATACAGCTTATCAATTTTTTTCGGCGTCATTAGTTATCATGCTCCGTCCAGTAGGTTCCCAACCGCGTTTTTATAGGCGCACGCGACAAGACGTGGACGCCGTTAACTATTAAAATGTATTTTCATAATGTACACGGTGAAATCGGTCGGTAGATTTTTCCTGACGCGTACCCGGCCAACGTGGAAGATACTAACGGAATTAACGAGTGTCACAACGGGCACGGCCCACGCGTTTGTTTACGCAATTTTCCAACGGGACATTCCGTTCAGCGATCCGTTCCATTCGGTGCGTGTACACGGTTGGAAAGCCTAGCACACGTGACGGCCTCGTCCGTGTAGACGCACGTCAGGCCGTTTGTAATTGTAATAAATATACCGTTCCCCAGCATATACGCAAGAATCGGCCGAGAGGGAGGAAACGTTCACAGATTATTGTCAACGATATCGCCGAAGGTCGCCGTGCCTTAGTGTAAAAGTGGCCAGAGTTATGACAGTTGCTCGGCCTGGGCACAGCCGTACACTCAGCATCGTCGAAACGTTTCCACTTATGCGGCCGACATTATCCTTTACAATTCCTCGGATAGCGCACTAATCACCCGTGAGACTGGGACATGCAAATCGCTATCGTCGCGACGATCAATGGCCGATTGATTTCAGGATGGATTTAATCGGGAATTTTCTGCGGTCAAGTTGGGTCATCTGAAAAATAAGTAAGCTCGTCAGTACTCAGCAAATGAAATGAGGGAATCGTAAAGGTACTTTTAACCCTTTTAGTGCCGGGCGAAAAAGAGGTACTTATGCGAAGATAACCGGCCGAATTTTACGATTTTACTAGGATCTGGAAAAAGGCTCATAAAAACCAAACGAAAATCAATATTAACGTAATTCAAAAAGCAGGGTATTAAGTACAAAATAGAGAATAAAACAGTGACGCTAATTTTTCTATATTCATTGGAAATGACATAAATAACAAAGGTATATGTGATAAAAAAAGAAAAATTGAGTTCTCCGTTTCAAAACGTAATTGCACATAGGAAATGTCATCTTTTTATCATAAATTTATATAGACCGCTTATTGCAAAGTATATACTTTAAATTTCCAATATATTTTTTAACAAAATAAGTAATATTGCACAAGAAACATAAAAAATAACTCCAAGGCACATGGTAGGCGCCGGACGGATTATCTCATCCGAAACAAGTAATTGTTATAGGTGTTGTTGTATCGTTATTTTAATTCTCTCGTAATTAAATTAGACTATTTATAACGTATTATAAATTTATTTTGAGATAGAGATCTCTCGCAAAGCGAATAGTAAAGCGCTACAAGGTGCGGGCCGATATATCGGCTCTGGCACTAAAAGGGTTAAATGTCTCTTACGTGAACGAAAGGGTTTCAGGAGAGGGCAGCAAGGAGATCAGCTGTGATCACCCGAAACGGGCGCGGCTGAAAAGACATGTTCATCGGTATTTCATGACGAGTGCACGCGTAGCAGCATGCCCCAGTATAAATAAGATATATTGCACTTGCGTTCAACGTCTCACTGTACCGTCAGCCTCCAGATTTACGACGCTGTTATTCACGTCGAGGTTCGACGTCACCTTTGAGAAAGGACGAGCCTACCACGTTTAACGCGAATCCATGTCGCGTGTACGTAGACGGATATGAACTTCGATCGAGGGAAAACGAACGATTAATCGAGCCGAAGTTTCGTCACGAGTCGAGAAGTCCAGCGCGAGGCTAGCCGGGCATTTTAATTGAAACGGTCTTATTAATATGTAATATATAAATTCCGTTATTATTTATCAAGTGAATTTTTAGAAACACTCTAGAAACTACTTTTTGGGCCTAAATCAGGTTGATAAGGAGCATCGAGAGGATTTTCCCGTGCACAATGTGATGACATTGTCGCTATCCAGCGATCCTCGTTACGTTATCACGAGGGGAGTGATCATGTTCGTTAAAGATAGATGGTTGACTATGGGGAATTAACGCTTCCTATGAAATATATTGCTAGGTGTTGGAGTACATGAGATGGACCATCGACAGGGGAGGAAATTGCACGAAGCCATGGGGCTGTCTCGAGGGTAGGCTTAATTGCGCCATTCCACGTGGTCCTACAGCCTCCTTGATTAATTCAATTGTCCTTTATCAGGCGGAAGTGTTGGCGACGCGAAGCTGCAAGACAAGGCGAGCCAATGGAAGAGGCTTCGACGAGATCGATGATGACTGTGATCGATCGGCGGCGATGGCTGAACGCTCCTACGAGGAGGCGCCGTCCATCATCGGAAGGGGAAGAAGAAGAAAAATAGGGAGAGGAGGCCAACGTTAAAAGAATCCAGAGATCGCGATCTAGGCTTCTCGGTGGTCCCGTGAGAAAGTCCTAGAAAATGGTCTCGAAGAAATAAAAAGGACACCTCATCAAGATTCCACCTAGGAGGCCACCACCAGTCTGGCGTCGTCCTCCAAATCCTAAATCTGAGCTAAAGATGCATACGCGTCTATTATTAAACGCAGTCACCCACATTCCGGGCTAAGAAAAGTATCAATTATGCAACGCAAAAACCTAGAGTTTACCCTAGAAATTGGGAGACTTCCTGTCGAAGTGTCTTAACTACTGGGGCGGATGGGGAATGGTCACGTATCGACCATAAGACTTCGTGGTGGCTCGAGGAGGATGTTGATCTCCGAAGGTCCAAGTTCTGATCTGGTTAAATTTAGCCCGCTGTCGCAGAACGATCTCGGTGAACCGAGTAATCGGAGATAATTTTCCTAGCTCGAAGGGGAGTCTGAAACAGAGTCCGATTAAACTCTCGCACGTGTTTATCTATCGGCTCTGTTTCGCCGGGTCCACGGTTATCAATCTCCACAAGGAGATGCAGTTGCAGAAATAAAACCTCGGATGATTCACCGTGTCGCTGCATCCTGAGTCATGTGTAAATTTCTTCAAGGCCCCCCGCGAGTCGATGCTTAGCGCTGCAAAATTCACGTGCGACTCTGTCCGGGCTCTTCAGCCTCTATTCCGACCTTGAAGAGCGGTACCGAGTATCTCTCGACAAGCATTAATTAAAATTCTCTTCCCCAGGCCCAGAGATAATCTCTTCACCGGCATATCGTCTTCTGGCAGGCTCCCTTAAGGAAGAAAAATGGAGCAAGAAATCCGCGTTATTTCGACGCGACCAGTAGCTTCCGAGGACTTTGCTCGATCCAAAAGTAGCGTTTCTGGAGCAAGTGATGAGTAAGGTACACAAGGTATCCAGGTGTGGCGTAGTTTTATGTACTCAAGCCAATCATTATGTAAGTCTCCGTATCTAGGTCCTTGGGTCTTCTTTCTTCTCGGGGCTGGGAAACCTGTTACGCGGTCTAGGGAGGAAAAAGTCGTATACAAAAGTTCTTAGGCACATCACAAGGAACAAGTTCGCTCCGGGGAATTTTTTCTCTGACACGCATCCTTCGGTCGGAAACTCGCTGCCAAAGAATTTCACGGCCGACCGCAGATGCAAGTCCGGTCGAAAGTGCATCCCGGAGTGAACCGCATTCGAAAGTAATGGCTCTCTAATCCGTCTAGGACTCCGCATGAGATACGAGTCGCCTCGTTCGCGGGCCATCAAGTAGGAACCCGGGTTCTATATTTATCAAGAGACCGATCGCTTTTCTCGATTGACCCCACACTCCTCGGCTCCTTCCTCGTCTGGCAAGAACCTGCTCTCTCAGAGGCGAGCTCCTCCGGGACGATTCCGGAGCAGACTGTTTGCGCGTTAATCGCGATAGTCAATTTATCATCGCTCAGAAGTACGTCTGAAAAATCCAGATTACATTACCTCGCCTGATAAGGGAGATCTCGTCGCGCGGTGCGAATCGGTCACTCGAGCAGAGGATCAAAATTCTCATTGTTCCCTCTAAAAGTCAAATCCAGCCAGGATTTCTCGAGTACCTAATTTTTTTCTTGACCTACCCCAAGAAGTATCCACGTGTTCTGGGGGAGGGTTCAAAGGATCTCACCCCGGGAGTCCCAGAATCTCACCTGTAGGCCAGGGACATGCACTGGAAGAGCTTGCTGAGCGAGGTCTCGATGCTGAGCTGTTGGGGGCTCTTCTCGGCCGAGGAGTCGGCGACGAATTTCTCCAGAGAGAAGCCAACGGGGGCGATGATGGCGAGCCTGGCGGCCTCCTCTTCAGGGACCGGGACGGCCAGCTCGTCCTCGTCGTCCTGGGCCTCGGCCTCGAAGTCGGACACCATGAAGTGGCCAGAATGGATGGTCTCCTTCGAGTCCCGAACATCCTGCTTCCCCCTAAGGACGCCTTGGCTCGCTCTCTGGGGAGACGACGTCATCGCCGGCTTCCGGTACATCAACTCGGCCTGCATCTCGACGACGAATTCTGCATCTCGTCGTCTGGACCACTTCCGAGATCACCTCGTCTCCGAAGATGCCGCCTGGTTATCCCTGGACCCGGCGACCGGATCCTCTTCCTCTTCCCTCCGACCGGAAAACCTGGAAGTGAAAACATGTATCAACATTAACCTTACAAAAAGTAGGGAAAAAAGGACTTATTCCAAAATCCACCGTGGAAAATTTTCAACCCACCCACGGGTAATTTTGGAAAATTAATATACCCACGTATCGGCGCTTATTTTTAGCTCACGTGATCCTCGCGTGAACTCCGCTCGCGTATTTTTAATAAGCCGCGAAAGCTGGCGAACTTTTCGACGCTACCGAGCTGATTATTCCGGCAATTAATCAACGTAGCAAAGTCTACGAGCGAGTACGGTGATAGGAGCACGTCATGACAGACTCAACAAGCTCTTTATCGAGCGTCTGGTGCTCTCGGTTATTATTTAGAGTCCTCGTTTTCGGAGCTATTGATGACTCCTTGGGATTCGTGCACCTTCTGGAAAATCTCGAATTGTCCCGCTAGAGAGGCGGGAGAAAGAAATTTGAAGAAAAAAAAAAAAGTTAGAAAAAGAACAATTCCTTCCAGGATTTATTTCCTAATTGGGAGATATTGCAGCCGAGAGTAACCGGAGGCAAAACACTCGGCGAGTCTTTGCCGTTCCCTTTTAGCCTTTCTCGGCGAGCAGAGCTCGACAAGTACTCGACGAGTACTCGTCGTAATGCCGCATAATACTACCTTCAAAGGACCGAGCGATCAATGGTTTTTCCGTCGTTCGACGCACTCGATGCCGTGTACAATGACTATTAACACTGGCGAGCATTATCATCGACGACTATCCGTGCCCTGTGACCTCAAGGCCTCCGATATCGTTAAGGTCGTTGCTTTTTCACCCACATATTTTATTAAAGGTCCAAGCCGAGGCGACGTCGGATTTCTGTAAATTTCCTGACACGTGGCCCGAGCGAGTGGAATAATTCCCGCTGCACGAAAAATATGACAACTCACTTACTAGTGACAAATTAACAACGGTGAAAAAAAAAATTAGAAAAAAAATCAAATCAAATTTATCTCAGGTGATCAGCTGACATCACCTCCCGTTCGTAATGAAAAGAAATGATACGAGAGGATTGACCGATAGGCTCGAGTACTCTTATGGGCGTAGAAATTATCGGCAAAATAATTCCTTAAAACTTGGAATAGAACGCGGAGTCGAGAATCAAATCGGTAGGTCGGGGAAAATTGATGACGATACGTCAATCAGGGGGCCTGATAACCAATTGGCAGCAAGTCGAGATATTATTCGAGATATATATTGCACTCCTTTTTTTGGTCCAAGGTCCGGGGCCCGAGTTAAACACTGGGCTTTGTGAATTTCCTGACACGTGGTTAGCGGGAACAGCTGGCAATCGCCGCCTCTCCCATTCATAAAGAAATGACTACGACGAGAGCGATACTACGTCGGGGTGGAAAGTTCTACGAGAGCGCTCCGTATCGCCATCTCGTATCGCTGCACCGAGCATTTCTCGGTGCATTTAATTTTTCGAAGAAAGTGCAAAGAAAAAAAAAAAGAATATATACGATGTATATCCCAATCATAAAATGTAACAAAAAAAAAAAAAAGAGAGAAAGATTTATAAACATACATCGACCACCGCAGCCATTTGTAAGGAAATGCGAAATAGAAAATAAATGCGATATGCGTCACGGATAATCATGAAATATTTGATAGAGGATAAAAAAAATATTGAAAAGTATAAATCGGTCGATCCAGTTATTAGTAAAGCTGCGGTCAAAAGATAGCCAGTCTTGATTGACGGCTCGAAACACCGTATCTGACAGCTGTCAAACCAGAGCGGGCACTACCCCTCGCTGGCCACGATGTCATGTTTTATTAGAGGAAATCGGAGCACCCATCGACGGGCACGGTTTTACCGCTTCCCGTTTATGTGCTCGTTGACCTTAAATTACGGTTTACCGTTTAGGCTCCCAAAAAAAAATGGATAAAAAAAAATAAAAACCCCGCTAAAAGGAATGGAATGTACCAAGTGAACCTTTTCGTACGTTTTAATGGATATTGTGCGTACCAAGACACGGCGTTCAGAAAATCGCCGATGTGCCAATCGCTTGCCCGATTGATAAACTACGTCATATCGGGACATCGTACGACGATTTCCCAAGCGATTATCCGTTTCCGATATACGAGCCCCACAAAAACGCTGTTTATTTTAGAAGTCGAGCCGAAGCGAGGGGGGAAAAAACAATTATTGCGAAAGAACAGTTCCCGAGGAGGAAAACCGCTCGTTCTCGCTAGTTGGATGACGCATTTAATAAAAACGAGATAGACGTCTCTTTGTCACTAAAATTGGTACCCATCGAATTCAATTTAACATCCCGTTTCTCAAGAACATTCCGCAAGTATCAGCCGATCGCCTCTAATTACATCCTTGTATTAATTTCCTGCTTAGCACTGAATGGTCCCTGCCATTAAATCAATCGCACCGAGAAGAAAAAAAATTCAATTCAACCAAGGAAATATTTCGTTAAATCAAAGAATAAATATTTCATACAAATAAATTGTTATCATCCCGAAGGAATGTTCCATCCAATTTATTGGAATTCATTTGAGTCATTTATTCTATGAATTAACAAAATACATTCTTTGGTACCATTCGAAGAAACATTTGTTCGGTTAGATGAGATTTTCTTTTTTTTCAGGGCGGTTGGAATTAAACGTCAAACCCAAAAAATGATTTCTCATAAAACTGGTAACTTTCTTAAGAAAAACATTAAAGTAGCCATGAAGTTTCCTTTTTAACAAGGACTGATAGTATATAGATCGCTTAGTCAGAGCGCTTACGCAATCGCGAGCCATGGCGTCGTTCACCCACAACAAAAACATTCCGCCGCGGCGTCGCGAGCCACGCGGCTCCAAGATTTGAGGTTATGTTCCCTGCGGATTCCGGAGTAACCCGAAGGATCTACGGAGAATGCGCGACAGCGTCGCTCGACGAGAACTGCACCAGAGATTTGGCAACGGCGCGCGCGTGCACCTGTTCGCCACTCTGCAGGGAATATAAGGTTAGGTCCAGGAAAACATCCCGAGAGCATGCACAGGGACAAACTCCCCATAGAATAATTCAAATTAAATCCGTATCCCCCTTTCCCATCCACTCTCTATAAAAATGTCACTAAAAATCACGCATAACCTCAAAATGAATTCACCCCCCAGGTTCCACATTAGTCAACATTAATGGCTCCGCCAGGCCTCGGGGTTCCCCTTTCGGGAAATCTTGCGAGAAATCTAACTTGTTCCAAACTGGACCATTAAAAAAAAAACATCAGCGTTATTTCATTACCGGGAAGGTAAATGTTTCCGCTTCCCAGAGAAATCAAGGATTTCCATTCCCGCGTTTCAATATGTATGTCAGGTATTTCTAATGAAATAAGGGGCAACAAGAGCAAAAGTGCATCCGGGGATTGCACAAGTTCCGGGACTACAAAACCACCTATCTAGCGCGGCGCAGTTTCCCTCTCGCGTTCCGAAAACCGCGAGTCCGCGCGACTAGATCCCGCGCATGCGCGGTGGCGTTTCCCGCACGAGCGCGACCCGTTTCCGCGGCACTTCCCGACCGAGCCAAGCACGCGTCCTCGTCGCGGCTCCTCTAGCGCTGGAAAATCAGTATTCGGGTCTTTGACGTAGGCAAGGTAGAAGGAAATGGATTGACGCTGTATTTTCCTCGCGGAATTCCTGGAATCGCAAATGGTCGCGCTCGACGGAGTAGGTTGTCTCGGTGCTCGCGCTCTCGTGAACCGTACCAAGGTGCTGCTCTTTCTCTCTCTCTCTCCGATCACTTGGTCGTTCCACGTCACACCGATCTGTTCACAGGTCGAGGAAGAGGGACCCTCCGACTTCGACACTCCCGAGACGGCTGGCAACGTCGCCGTCAGGCGAATCCGCGAGGTTCGCCGCCCGGACGAGGCACCCTCGCGCTATTACGCGGAACACGCTCGCTCATACTGGCCCCACCGCCATTTATGAAACGCGTCGAACCTACGCTTGCGTTTCACAACTCACAGCTGATCGTGCCCGAGCACGGCGCTGGCGCCGCGCGACCGTAGCGCCACCACGGCACCCCCAAGAAGCGGCCGACCGTCGAGCGACCGGTAATGTAGAGACCGAAGGTGGCGGTTAGAAATAACTCGCCCATTCATTATATTATTTTAAGTAAGAAAAGAGTTAAGTAGGGAAAATATGAACTAATTGAATATATATATATCCACGTAAGTTGGGTTTTCACCCGTCTATTCACCTAGCTGGAGAAATTTTATGTCGTCGAGGAGGTCTTGAGATTTCTTCGCGTTATCTTGGACGCCGTCCAGATCTAGGCGACCTCTGTGGGAACTAAAACTTCCGTTCGATTTGGAACGGCTGGTAAAGAAGGCCGCGGATGGAATTGCAGAATCTACGGAGGCTTGAACAGACGATTATATTCGTTTTGAAACCCGCTAACTTGGCGACAACACTTGACGTAATTCCTGTTAAGGAGAATGAAAAAAAAATTGATAGATACTACGAAGCTAGGCCTAGAATTAATAGTTTTACAACCTTGAATTACGCGCCAGCTAGTTACGATAAGATTAAACCATATTGACTCGGCGCCTGGAATTAATCTCGCGAGATAGCAGCGGCTGTCGGTGGTAATTGAGAAACCTCAGTGCTTACTGAAAATCTGAAATAGATAAAGCCAATGAAAACCAATAAATACCTAGGATGTCAAAAACACGCGTTAACAAGGAAAACAGGATCGAAAGTATCATTAAAAACAGGAAACTTCGTCTTTTGAGAAGGAATGTCGATACAAAAGAAATTCAAATTTCTCTTTAAAAATTTCCAAAAGCGAGAAGGATAGTTCCGCGTCGGCGGTTCGCGGCGGAGTGCGGCGGAGCTCGCGGAGTGATACGCTTCGGCCCGGGAGCAGGGACTACTTGCGTGCGCGCGCAGGGCCGCGCAGGCGCCGGGCTGCGTGGGCTCAGTCTGCGCATCGCGGCCGAGCAGGGTAGTTGAGCGCCGCCGAGAGGTTGGATCCGAGCGAGTCAGTCAGATCGCAGAGGCCCGAGGAGGCGAGCGTTCCGTCATGGGCGATCGCGAGAGAGATACGGCGTTGTGTCGTCGCGCGTCCTCCTTGTCGGGCAGCCAATCGACGCCCGAGGACGCTCGCTGACCGATCCGACACCAGTGGAGCGGCGAGTCGCGTTGCGTACGAATGGTGCCGCGCGTTCCGTAACCCAGTCGGAGCTCGGTCGCGCAGGCGGGATCGATTAACGGCAGAGACCAGGAACGAACCGACAGTGGGTAATTCTGGAGTCCCCGAGGTGCATACCATCTCGTATCGTCAAGCCTCGTCCGAAGTTCGACATAACCTCCCTGAGGCCGGGAAGTCCCGGAATCCCGGAATTGCCGGCGAGCTCCGAGGAGCGCCGGAGCTGCGCGCGCAGGCGTGGCTCGCTTCCCGGAGTGGAACCACGTGAGGCTCGGTGCGGGTGGAGCTGCGCGCGCACCCGCCGTGTTTTGCCGTCTGCCCGGTCGAGCGGGGCGCGATTCGACTCGCCGCCTTCGAGCGGGCCGTTTCACCGACATTGGAAAGGCGGCCTCGACTCGTAAACAACGTGGAGATCTTTTCCACGTCCAGGAATCCGAGGCCCACGTGACTAGCCATTGGCAAGGTGCTGGAAAAGCCGCGGTCGGTGCGATATTTCGAGGATACTCGATTCGAATTAACGATCGATCCCTTCTCAAATCTTGGAAAGGTCGCCGGACGGCCAATCGTCGCTTCCACGTTTGAATTCGGCGCGCGAGTTGCGCGCGCATCTTGCGGCGAGGCGTCAACGGCGCGACCGGCCGAGCGGAAGAAAAGGGAAGAACCGGAGGAAGAGGAGCCGGATGATCAATCGAAAGGCGCGTCGCAAGGTCTTAGGCGAGTATCGAGGGTGCTAGTTATCGATACATCCGTCCGCCGTGCCCGCTCACCCGAGGAGCGGGTCGAGCCGCCGAAGGGCGGCGCGCGCACTTTCCGTTGGAGCCACGTGAGCGCCGACGCGCCTAGGCGGGCGAAAGCGGCGTTCCGTTTCATTAGTGCTCCGCCGGCAGTCGGGGCGGGACGTCGAGCGTGCGTCGTGGGATCCTGTCGAGGTTAGGCGTCCAGTGCTCGTCTCAAGGTACTCCCTCTAATTATTCGACCTCCCATCCGCGACTCGACCAAAGAGGTCGAAAATTCGGCACGCATAACCTGGACTGCGTCATCTGCGAGGGAGGATAGTGCAGCAACGCGGGAAACCGATAAACAAGGGGACGCCAGGAGAGGTTAATTTCTTGAGATTTTACGAACGGTATCCCGATATCCTCCGGTGGAGGGAAGTCGACGCTCCCGGAGGACTATCGGACGGCTCGATCGGGGCCCGGTGTTTACGGAAGCGCGACGGGGAGGTGCCGGCCAAGCCCTGGACCGGAGCTCGCCGTTCCCCGGGACCGACTCGGAGGGGCCGTGCCCCAAGGTCGCGGCCTCCGCGGCCAAGGCCGCCCCTGGGTCGGCGATGTCCAGGGCGAGCTGAGGGCGTCGCGGCGCCATGTCCGCCGCCACCGCGACCAGTGCTCGGGGCACCGGCGCCGAGTGCAGGAAGTTCGCCCCCAACATATTCAACAAGAGCAAGTGCAGCAGCTGCTTCAAGCAGAAGGAGGAGCACAGCGCCGAGGCGTTGGAGTCCAACAGGGTGAGTAGAGAGGGAGGGTCGACACGTGGGCTTGGGAGGGGTGGAAGGGATGGCTATTTTTCAAGCAATTCTTATCGGTATATAAAGATTGTACAGGTCTTTTAGAACCCCATTTTCGACGCGGATAACGATGCGTAAACGATTCCCATGAATTTTGTTGCAACGTGCATGAAATCCGCAGGTGAAGAGATAACCGATGGCTATTTTTCATGCAGTTGTCATCAGTAAAGAAAGATTGTACAGGTCTTTTAGACCCCATTTTCGACGCGAATAACGACGCGTAAACGATTCCCATGAATTTCGTTGCAACGTGCATGAAATCCGCAGGTGAAGACATGACCGATGGCTATTTTTCATGCACTTGTTATCGGTAAAGAAAGATTGTACAGGTCTCAGACCCCATTTTCGACGCGAATAACGACGCGTAAACGATTCCCATGAATTTCGTTGCAACGTGCATGAAATCCGCAGGTGAAGAGATGACTGATGGCTATTTTTCATGCAATTATTATCGATAACAAAATAAAAACAAAAGACATTATACGGAACCTTTCGACGCCATTTTCAACATGGATAGCGATTGCGTAAACGATGTCGGTGAATTCTGCTGCAGTCTGCGGGAATCCGCGGGGATTATCTCGAATCAAGGCTTCATTATCGCGTGTATCGAACGCGCGGCCGAGAGTCGATCGACTTTTAATGTCCTTCGGTCTACTCCTTGACCGGCCCGGACGAGCCTAGGATTAACGGGGAGGCGATAACGAGCGAGCTAATCTCGACGATTGTTTACCTAGCAGTAAAGCGATTTACGAGCGTTACGGGCCTCAGGGTTAGGTAAATTTCCTCTCGGCCAGGTGATCGCCGGTGCCGGGGTTTACGTCGTCCCGGTTTTATCGGACGCGACTTAAGATGCACGGTCCGGAAGGAATCGAGTCGCGACAGCGACCTTACGGTTTCCCGGGGGAGAGGAACTTTTCGGAGCGCCCCGAGGCGAGGGGATCGCTCCAGGGACTGGGATTTTCAATGGCCCCTCGGGAGATCGATTCCTCGAAGGCCCCTTGAAGTGGCCGGCGAGGTGTCGCAGCTCCTTGAAATTCTTCCGAGTTCTGGAATTCCAGGCGTAACCGAAAACGCTAACTTTGGTCGCTGGGCCCGATGTAAACATACCACTCGTTCCGTCGGGAGCACCGCGGAGTAAACATCTAGGCTGGAGGACTTATCCGGTAGAGAGAGGCGAATAGACTCGGAGACTCGGGAGGATTAATAAATCCGGAACTCGGGGAGATTAATAAATTCGGAACTCCCGAGGCGTGGCGGTTTCCGCGCATCGTGGCACGCGGAAAGATATCCGAGGAGAGGAGAACCGGGAAAGGGAAACGAGGGAGAGAAAAAGAATACGGCAGAAGCAAAAGCCTACCGATCCTCGTTTATACGGCGGAGCGGAGAGGCAGGATTCACGGATGCAGGGATAAAAAGCGCGAAAAATCCGCGACGATCCTCCTTCCGCCACCTTTGGCGCGCCGAAAGGGGAGCGCCGCCGGAGAAAAGACGCGCGAGAGGAGATAATGGAGGAGGTACTGTTACTCGAAAGGAGGGAGGAGAGAGAAAAAAAAGGGCGCGACCGAGAGAGATAGAGATTGACGGAAAAGAAACGTTACGTCGCACCTGCGGAACCGATCGTCCCCTGCCGGAGTTCCCGCAGATTTTATCTGCAAGTCCTATACGCCCTTATCGGTGACTCCCGATTTGATAATCCATACGTTATATATATGTTACCGTGAATGACCGAAATTGGAGAATGTCGACTTTCACCGGTGAATGTTAACAGATACCAAATACGTCGGTGAAAGATCGAATATTCCATTACATTGTTGTACATTCGGACCCTCTCCAGTGTGTGTCGGCAATCACATACCGGTGAATGTCAACGTTTACCGGTGTAAGTCAGAAATAAGGGTATTTAGCAAATATTTCGGACATACACGAAGCGACTATGTGAATGTTGACATTCACCGGTGAAAGTCGACATTCTCCAGATTTCGGTGTTTTACTGTAACATATATATATATAGAAAAAATTAAAAACGAGATGAAAGAAAGATTACGAAAATCCCCGAATTCTCGGCGACGCTTCCTCGGCCGTGACCTTCGCCTCGCTCCGCCGAATTCTTTCTCTCGTCTCTCTCTCTCTCTCTCTCTCGCTTTCCTGCGAGTAGTCGAGAAGGCTCGCCCTACTCCTCCGGTATTTTTCAGCCCCCTTCCCCTCCTCCCCCTTCTCGCGCGACAACGTAACCTCTGGCACATCCCTCCCACCCACTTGGCGTCCTCTTCTTTCCTCTTTCCGCGGACAAATCTCGCCCTCCCTCCCTCTCTCTCCCTCTCACGGAGTCCCCGAGACGCCCCACCCGCGCTCGGCCGTTGCAAATTTCGGAATGTCGGCAGCCTTGCGACCTGTTCCCGGTGCATTCCAGCCGCCATCGCGTTCCTCTGGGGTCCCCTCGGCCCCCCCTTTCGTTTCCCTCCCCTCGCCACTCGGGTCCGGGCGGAGTCACTCTTCCCGAGGGATCTTACTTTCCATTTTTCTTCGTCCCGTTTGTCTGCGGGAGATTTTCTACCTCTCCGCCATGATGTTTACCGCGAGTATTTTATATCGACCCTGATGACTTTTCAAGGGTTTCTTTTTTTTTTTTTTTTATTGAGATCATTCCTCCCGAGGGATCTTACTTTCCATGTTTCTCCGTCCCGTTTGTCTGCGGGAGATTTTCTATCTCTCCATGATGTTTACCGCGAGTATTTGATATGGACCCTGATGACTTTGCAAGGTTTACTTTTTTTTATTGGGATCACTCCTCTCGAGGGATCTTACTTTCCACTTTTCTCCGTCCCGTTTGTCCGCGGGAGATTTTCTACCTCTAGGCCATGATGTTTCCTGTGAGTATTTTATATGGACCCTGATGTCTTTTCAAGGTTTTCTTTTTTTTTTATTAGGATCACTCCTCCCGAGGGATCTTACTTTCCATTTTTCTCCGTCCCATATGTCTGCGGGAGATTTTCTACCTCTAGGCCATGATGTTTACTGCGAGTATTTGATATGGACCCTAATGACTTTTCAAGGTTTTCTTTTTTTTTATTGGGATCACTCCTCCCGAGGGATCTTACTTTCCACTTTTCTCCGCCCCGTTTGTCCGCGGGAGATTTTCTATTTCTCCGCCACGGTGTTCACTACGAGTATTTTACATATACACTGATGACTTTGTCTTCTTTTCTTATTTGTTGAAGATGTGTAGAATTTTTTTCTTTTTCTTTTTTCCTGATTAATTTTCTGGCGGCTTCGAAGCCGCAACGCGGGGTTCGTCGAGCGGCGTTTAATACGGTTAATTGCGAGAGCGCGGCGGCAATTAACGTGCCTCCGGCTGGCCCAAGGAATGTTACGAGTGGCGTTACTTTCCTCTGGCATCGAGGAAGGGGAGGGGTTTTGTCCTCGTCGGGTTTGCCCGGTAATTCGTCGGGGAACGAGACCGACGGGGCCCGCGGAGTTAACGGGCCGCGGCTCGTAAAAACGCGCTTTATCGCGACCTCCTAAAATGGAGCCTAATGCATTCCGAGGGCTTTCCCTCTGGCCTGGCGAAGGCGCCTGCCTCGACCTCCGGGGGATATATCCTTGCTTTACCTCGTCTTGGTTATTTTTCGACGGCTCGACCCGGATTGGTTTGTTTGTTTGTCATTTTTTTTACATTTTTTTTTTCTCCAGTTCGATCATTAACGTATTCCTTCAATTTCTCGCTCCGCGCCGGGACCCGACGTTTCTTGCAATTCCCTCGGATGGGTGTATCTTATTTATGTATTTTTCGTGCACAACCTTTCTTTCTTTTTTTTTCTTTTTTTTTCTTTTCCTCGATCGCGTTTCCCCAGGTGCGGTCAGCTGACAGGGCCGACCACGTTGCGAGCCGTTGGGCAACTTCGCGGCGGCCGGGCTCTCCGCAAATATTTTGCATGCGGTCGCGCCGGCCGAGCACGTCCCGGCCGAAAAAGCCGAGAGGAAGAAAACAGTCTTCCGACTTCCGGCCGGGTTTTCGGCCTCGCGAGGCGAGAGAACGTTTCGTTATTTTTTTATTCCCTACCTTTTTTTTCCCTTCGGAGTTTGAAAATATCTCCACCTCGTTGGCAGGAAAAAGAAAACGCGAGGTCTAAGGAGAGGCGAGGATCAAACGCGCGTCGCCACGGATTTTGTAGCACGTGACGGCGTGGTAGAAGGGATCTCTCGATTTTGCCAGGCTTAAGGGGTTACACCTCTTTGACCCACCCAAAAATTACGGTTTTTCAAGATTTTTTTTTTCAGAATTAAAACGTTTTTATCCAAATTAATGTACAGTAAGGTATTATACTACTATTAAACAACAAAATATTTTTTTTGTATATTTTTTATTTACAAAATTGGCGACTTGAAAGGGGATTTATCGGAGCGCTGCGAAAATCGATGATCGTGCGGTGGGCACGATAACTCAGTCCAGGTTTAAGCTAGATCAATGAACGGAAAAGAATTAGTTTCTGTAACCCGAAAGCTAGCGAAATACGTAGCCGTTTTCAAAAGTATGCATTTTTCACAAAATGGCATCGATTTGAGGGGAAAGATACGTATTTTGCCCTAAATTTTGTTAATTAATGTTGCATAAAAAACGCGAATATCAATACATTGAAAAAACCATACGTATTTCGCTAGATAAACATATCACGAATAAAATAAAAAAGAATCAAGACAATTGATTGAAAATTGGCGGAGCTAGAGTGCCCACCGATTTTTAAAATGCAGTTTTAAGAAAAACGCGTTTAAAGTATAAACGCGTCAAATAAACGCGTAAAAATTTTTTTTGATTTTTTGAAAATTTCAAAGTGGTATAACCTCAAGGTTCGATTCTCGAACGCGGGGAAATGCGAGCTTCGCGGCCGATTTGCGAGGACCAGCTATCGGGGCCAGATTCGACATTCAAAGGCCGTTTCTTG